GCGGCTGCGGCTAGCTATTCTTCGTCCTTGCGCTACTGCTACCGATGCCCGCTGCTGCTGCTGCTGCAGCCGCCTTAGACTATTCTCTGCTACCCCTGCTGCTGCTCATGCTGCGGCCTGCCGCAGTAACATCTGAGAGTAACACCTAGAAAGGGAGGAACTGAGTCTCCAGGCTCGAAAGTGCAGAGGCCACCAGGCATCCAGGGGCGTCTCACTTCTGCAGCCTGTTGCTGCTACTTGCTCCCGCTGTTTGTCATTACTGCTTGCTTTTGCTGCTCGTTGTTGCTCCGTGATGTAGCTGCGCCCTGCTGCTGCTTCTCGGTGCTGCTTCTTGCTTGTGCTTCATGATGCGTGCTGCTGGTATTTGCCGCTGCTGCCTGCAGTTGTTTCTTGCTGGTGCTGACTGGTTCTGCTGCTATTGCTGCTTGCTATTGCTGCTTGATGCTGTTTGCAGCTGTTTGCTGCTGTTGTTACTTACTGCTGTTTCTGCTGCTTACTGTAGCGTGCCGCTGCGGCCGCTGCGCGCTGTTCCCACGTGGTGCTGCTTTCACTTGCTGCTACTTGATACTGCTGCTGTTTGCTGCCTCTTCCTTCTGCAGGGTGGTACGGCTGCTGGCTGCTGCTGCTCGCTGCTGTTGTTTGTTGCGGTCCCGTATTGCTGCTTCTTGGTGCTGTGGCATACTGCTGCTGTTTGCTTCTGTCGCTTGCTGCTGATACGTACTGCTGCACGCTATTTGCCACTGCTGCTGCTTGCTGCTCACTGCTGGTCGGTGCCGCTATTTGCTACTGCTGATTGCTGCTGCTGCCTGCTGCTGCGTGTTGCTGTCTTGGCCTTCTGTTGTGTGTTGCTGCTCTTGCTTGCTGCTGCCCTTTGTCTTTTGCTGCTGCTGCTGCTTTCTGGTGCTGGCGCCTGTTGCTACTCCGTGCTGCTTGCGGCTGTTATACCGTGATTCGAAGAAAACTTTTCGGGCGGCGTGTGTGTCATAGACAAGATGGTCGTTTTGCATCATATCTGGTGTAGGGAAAAAGCATAGGGAAATTCGGAAATTGGGCAGAAGAGACACCCATATGCGTCGCAGTGGCCTCAGACCGCTGCAGCTCTTCCACCAGCCAAAACAGCAGCAGAAGCGGCAGTAGCAACTTGATTAAAACTTGTGGAAAGCTGAATGCCATGAGGCTGGGATTTGGACTGCAGCAACAGATGTGTAGTGCTGGGCCAAGGCACCTGCGCAAGTAGCAACAACATGAAAAATAGACTCACCAGAATATGCTGCAATAAACTATTACATGCGTAAACGGAGACGCTGATAGGCGGGATCATTGCGTATGCTCACTGCTAGAACCTTGTTTGATAATGAAGATGCTGGCCTGGCCTCTTTGCGCTTTTCAGCCAACATTTCAAGGCAGTTAAGAGTACAGTGCTTGCAGAGTTCACCGGCGGTCGCATGTACACGACCCCACACTCCCACGAGCGGAGCAATTTCCACAAAAATGCACTTGCAACGGTGGCTGTTTAAGAATTATTCTATGAAAGCAATTTACGCAATTTACGCGTTCACATCATATCGTGTAGAGGATACGAAGGCGCAATGAGAGCCGCAGAAACAGCCTAGCAAGAATGAGTCCCTAATGTGCAGCAGCCAGCATGTAACATTGTTCGAGAAAAATGACACTTGGATGTTGCCCCTTTTCCATTTGACTCGTGCGACGTAGAGTGTCCGTGGTCGTGTTGCTTGCATGTACGGGCCAGGAGTAGGTCCGCAAAAAAGAAGATACGTCGTAGCGGTCTACTTTTTACAGGAATGACAATGAGCAAGCCGGTAAACAAGGAAATGGTGGGAATGCCATGCAGCAGAAGCAGAGGATTACACTGCATGATTCTACAGATAACATAACTTTGTGCCTAGAAAGCCAATGCAGTGTCGTTGCTGCTAGTTGTTTATCGGGCCTTTAGCGGCTAACGCACGAGTATTGGCTTTGCGAAGTAATGTGCAGAGACAAGATGTGCAGCTCATGAAATTTTGACGCAAAAGACATGTGGCCCACAGCTGTGGCGGGCTGGCTTTGGGATGTAGTATGAAAAGGCTTATGAAGTGCTCCAAAAACAGCCTTAAGAGGCCCAAACTTGGCACCGCGAAACGGACCATTTTCCACATTCTGCGCAGCATTCTGTTGAAAAACCAACTCTGGTTTGGCACAAATCTAATATAGGAAGCCAGGCTGGTATAGCCGCTGCTGCCCTCAACAGATCCAAAAGGATGTACACATATACATACGCATACATGAAGAAGCATTGAGAAGTAACAATCTGAACTTTTTAACTGAGTAGAAAGTAATATTAACTGAGCAGCAAATAATGCAGTTGTGATGCTCACTTACAGAGAAAATGCATCCCATACTTTTACTTCCGGGCTGAGGTTGAGTTGAAAAGCAGCCATCAGCCTTTAGTTTAGTTTTTGCTGTTCCTAATTTCGTCCAAATCCGTCTGGCTTCACAACAGTTGATAGGACTCCAAAACCAAGCCTACGAAGAGGCGCTAGATCCAAAGAATTGCCGTACAATTTTGGGCCTTGGGTATTGGGGCACCAGAATAAGTCTGATGGCAGCATTTTCAAGGCTTCCCAATAGGTGCAACTCATCCCAAGCTCCACAGACTACGACGTGGGAAAGCGTCATGAGCCGTACCGTCTTCTCCAGCTGCTGCTGATGCTGCCCCTGCTGGAAGAGCAGAGCTGGCAAAGGGAAACGGTTGGTGATGCAGCATCAGCTGAAGCACCAGCAGCGGCAGCACAAATTTTAGCAGCTGCAGCACTTTCACTTGCAACATCCAAAGCAAATACTGCAGCAGCAGCTGGCTCAAATTGTTTTCGTTGCATGAGAGTTTTCAGCCAGCCTTCCAGCATTTGCTGAGGCGATGAAGTAACATCTGAGAGTAACACCAAGAAAGGGAGGAACTGCATCTGCTTCTGCTGCGTGGCACTTCCACCATTTCATTGTTTACCGACTTGTCATTGTCATTCCTGTTAAAAGGATCCAGGGGCGTCTCACTTCTGCAGCCTGTTGCTACTACTTGCTGCTGCTGTTTGTTATTGCTGCTTGCTTTCGCTGCTCGTTGCTGCTCTTTCATGTAGAGGTGTGATGCTTGAAGAAAATTTTTCGGGTAGGCTGTATGTCATAGACAAGATGGTCTTTTTGCATCACTTCTGGCGTAGGGAAAAACATAAGGAAATTCGGAAATTGTGCAGAAGAGACACCCGTACGCGTCGCAGTGGGGTCAGAACGCTACAGTTCCTCAACCAGCCACAAGAGCAGCAGAAGCGGCAGCAGCAACCTGGTAAAAACTTGTGAAGTGCCGGGTCAAGTCGCCTGAGACGCCTGCACGAGTAGCAACAGCATGGAAAATAGACTCACCAAAATATTATTTGCTGCAGTTACTTGATGTTGCTGTCTGTTGCAGCTTTTTGTTGCTTCTGCTGCTTCTTGGTTGTGCTGCTCGATGCTGTTATTTGGTGATGCTGCTTGCCGTTGTTCTTCTTTGGTTGTGCTGCTCGGAACTGCTGCGTTTTGCTGTTGTTGGGTGGTGCTGCTTTCTATTTCTGCGTGATGATGTTGCTTGATTGGCTCTGCGCCTTGTTCTTTCTGGCAGCGTTGGTGAACAGTGTAAGCTGCAGTAGTCAGATGTTACTGGCGCTTCTGCTCCTGCAAAGGCCAATTTAAGTGTTTTCTGCTTGACCGTTGTGCTTCCTGCATGATTGCGCCATTCTGTTGCTTTCCGGGGAAGGATGTAGCGTTGGTGAACAGTGTGAGCTGCAGTAGTCAGATGTTACTGGCGCTTCTGCTCCTGCAAAGGCCAACTTAAGTGCTTTCTGCTTGACCGTTGTGCTTCCTGCATGATTGCGCCATTCTGTTGCTTTCCGGGGAAGGAGTCAAAAGCTAAATACTAAGATCACTCGATGGCTTCATTTGCACTAATGACCCCTTTGAAAAAGTATCAGAGATATGCAGAGTTTCAGTTGTGCACACTGCACACGCATCGGGATCCAGGCCAGTATTGGTGGGAGGCCTCGCAAGCGAATGACTGAGCGCGAGGATCCTGGAAAAAGTTGAACATCTCCGCCGGACATTAGAGTCTGTGGTGGCGAGCGCGGTTGCTGTGGCGGAGAGTGCTGTCGCTAAATTGGAGGCTAACGCAAACAGCTACCCAGTGCCCGTTGCTTGTAAGCATAAGACGAAGAGGGAGCACTGCTTCACGAATAGCTCTAATACTTTGCATCGACAGGCCCTGCTGAGTGCCAAACCTACTCTTGCCCGCACCAGCTGCATGATAGAGCCTTATCAAAGTTTTTTACCTGGGATTTTCGGCGGATTCTACTGTGGACCACAAGGCAACTGCTTGACTCTGCTCCCTGTACCACACCGAAGCCTCCCTGTCCCTTGCTTGAAAAAGAAAACAGACCATAAGACTGCATGCTGGCCTTTGCAGAAAAGTAGCAGGTTAAAATGTGGTGCAAGCCGCGGGAACGGCAAAAGTTCTGTGGTGCAAGCCGCGAGGACGGCTAAAGTTCTGTGCGACAACCTGCAGGCACCACAAGCCCTATCGGGGCTCAGCCAAATTGACCAGAATCCGGAAAGCAAAGAAATGACTGACAGGGAGAAAAGTTTCCACTTGGATTAAGTAAATAATATCGTCTGCATGTCGTTCCGCAACACATATTAGGAACACTGAATGGAGAGGTGACACCCTAACAGAATCGGGGGACTCCCGACGCAAGGATCGTTTTCACTGTAGGGGCTGTGGGGAGCTCGCTCCTGGTATTAAAAAATAGTTAATACGAAAACGATACAAGCTCTTAATTGCTTTTATCCCTCCGTAGCGTTCCATGGACGCTCCTCCGCAGGGCGCCTTCTGAAAAAGCAACACTATGTGGCCGAAACCAAAGTAGGCGTAAATCCGTTTCAGTGGCTACTTCTCTTGAAAGTATTTGCTGAGAGCAGCCCCAATGAATTCAAGACTTGGCGTACGCGGGGCCCTCAGGGGCATAGGGGTCCCCGTGGGAAAAGCCCTAGACCTTTCGGTTGCTGTAGCTTTCAAGAAATCTGTCACGACGACCCGTGAACTTGCAGCTTTACAGGTGCAGCGGTGCCGTCGTTTCCATGTGGACTCTTCTCAGACCTCTCCAGCCATTGCTGGGAGCAAGGAGAACGACACTGCAACTTCCTCTGCAGGGACCACAACGAGCACACCCTCGCTGCGCATTAGAGTTGAATGGCCCGCAGACATGTCTGAAAGAGCCCGCAGGATTGCATCCAACCACGAATCTGGAAGCGCTGCTCCCATGCAAGGGAGTCAGGCTACCAGCTCAAAAGATTTAAGCACCTTCATATCAAAGAGTGAACTGGAGGAAGAACTCGAGGTGAACGACGCACGAGCCTTTTGGCGCCGCGTCAAGAGCGCCATTTCGTGGCCACTGTCTACAGCAGCCACAAATGCCCTTTCTGGGGCTGCTGAAGCTTCCAACGGTGCAGGTTCACCTCCCATTTTGTACAAGCGGTACGTTGACGGGATGACAGCAGCACACCATTACCCTTCTCGCCTGCTTCCCCCCAACGAATCCCAGCCGCTGCCACCTCTATTCTTCGTCACTCCGTTTAGTCTTCAAGACAGCTTAGATCATTCTGCACAGGTCAGCAGACTGGGGTTTGGGAAAATGCGAGGCCACAGGCCAAGCGTGACAGGAATGCACCCAAAGACAGCGGTGAGCTGCAAAATGATGTTCCCATGCATTTCCGTTGAATTCCTCTCAACAGGTTGAGCCATCAGCTTCGCAATTTACCTCTGCCGTGGTATTTTGCGGCCACTGACTGTCGCCGTGTATACCTTGTGGTTTTACAGTTGGTTGAACGCCTCTACGGACACGTGTCGCTCTTGTTTCTCTTCGACGTGGGAGGCCAACATTCCCAGATATCCGATGTGGCCTCTTGGCTGCGCCTGTTGGAGCGCCAAAGCGGATTCATTTCAGCGGTGTACGGTTCTGCCTTCGTTCCTGCTGCTGCTGCTGCTGCAACGGCCGGCTCAGCGCAGCACGACCTCATCGCTCAGCTGCGCCCGCGCATATACCCACGAGGTTCTTCCCAAGATCCTGAGTTGGCCAGGATCTCCTACATCTGTATTGACCATGCCCCCATATGGCTCAGACGACTGGCTCTCCGGAGCATGCAGCATCTTTCACCCGCATTCCACCCCTTGACTCCCTTCCACACATTCCCGCAGCGTTTTCGCCAGGCTCGGTGCATGCAGCAGGGGCCTCTGGGGCCCCATAGAGCCCAAGAAGAGGATGAAGTGAGACGGCTAGCGGAGGAATACAGCCGGCTCGGGGCCCTTTTTGGCAGGGGATCCACCAGTCGGGCCCTAGTGGGTTCTTTTTTGGGATACAGCGGACGGTGGGGACGGGTAGAGACAGAAGCACTGAAGAGAAAACAAAGGCAGAAATTCGTCACTGTTCTTCTGGCCGACAAAGCTGCGAGAGTCAGGTGGCATTGCACAGGCCTTCCTACTGAGGAGGCGGTGCTCTTGCTTGTGTGAGCCCGACAGAGATATAGATGAAACTAAGCGCAGATGCAGAGGCAGACGATAATGGAAGACTTAGAGAAAAATGCACACGAACGGAGAAACTAGCAGCGGAAATAGAAAACCAGTGCGCGTTTTGTTCTTTGTGCAGATCAGGGCTTAAAAGCCTCTTAACAGAACAGCCGAACGCTGCCAAGGTCACCCCGCGGGCACATGTGTAGCATTTGCAACTGCTGAAGGAGCCACACGGGGATGTGAAGCAACGCCCAGTGCGCTGGTTTGTGCAGCAGCAGAAGCAGCAGCTGCAGTCTGAAACTTGTGCCGGAAAGTAGATGCTGCTTTTGGCGGTGCTTCTCTTAGCGTTTTCGGGAATCCACTCAAGGATCTGCGTGGACAAAGCTAGAGTGTGTTGGGATTTGAGTGCGTCACCTATTTGTGTGGGCTGCGCGCTACACAAGAGCAGTTGCCACCGCCTGTGCTAAAGTAACTGCCCGGGAAATATTTCTGGCTGCTCACGAGGCTCAGGGACGACAAGAAGTGAACTGGTGCTGCTGCCTTTGCTGCATTTTTCCCCTCAGTACTGAGCGTACGCCAGCTATGGGCTTGGTTTATATCTAAAGTGTTCAATAGCGTGAGCTTTAGTCAGCAGCCAAGGCAGGACGACTGAATGCTGTTTGCTGCGAGTTCCTGCTGCAGCAGCTGCAGCTGGTAGCTGCCGCAGCAGCTGTTACAGCCGCGGCTGCAGCAATCCACAACGGAACGCTGCGTATTCAAACAATTCGCTGGGGGACTGCGAAAGCAAAGGCCCCCAAAATGCTACAATCAAAACAGAAACAGCCATTCACTGTAAGAACTGCCTGACTCTCACATGACGCACGAGGCAAGCATCAAACCAGACCGTTCAAGAGAACGGAACGCCGAAGCCTCATGATAGCTGAATAAGCTTCCCTTAGAAGGAGTGCAACGGGTCTTCACGAAAAACAAACTATATCTCTTGCACGGTGCAGCAGCAGAGGCCACACAAGTCGGCCTGCTGGGCAGGCCAACAGTTTCAACAACAGCAAACCAACGGAAAATGGACGGCCCTGCGGGGCTACCCTCCATCTACCAGTTTGCCTAGTTGCTGCATCATTTGCTGCAGCCCCAGCCACAGTAGCCCGCGCTTCCGGAGTTTGCAGCAGTCGCTGCAGCGCTCTGAAGAGCAGCTGCCTCTCTTCATGAGCCCCTACGGCCCCCAATCGCTCAAAAGCCAGGAGAAGAGCTCCTGAAAATCCCTCGATGGCATCAGCCAAACACTCCCAGTAGGCCCCTTCTGCTCCGGCCGGCGGCTCCGTGTCCCCGTCATTCGCACGGGCCTCCGACTCTTCCTCAATGGCAGAGGCCTCCCACTCGGGATCCTCTTCTCTTAAAGAGGTCTCCTGCGCCGGGCTGGAGGCGGCGCCAGCTGGTTTGGCCGAAAACGGCTTAGTTTCTGCGGCCGCAGCAGCAGCTGCTGGAGCGTTTGAGGCAGCGCTTGGTGTAGGAGGAGGCGAATCAGTAGGCCCAGCTGTATCAGAAGCTGACAACTGCTGCGTGTGTTGGGTGCATGCAGGACCGGGGTTGCTGCTGCTGTTGGTAGCAGCAGCAGTGATGCGCGCTGATACTGCAGCTACGACCAAGGCTGTTGTACCTCGACGGCGAGCAGCGGCGGCGCCCTTCGCAGCAGCATGATGCAGCAGAAGCTGCATCACTGGCTGAGCTGCAGCAGCGATACGGAAAGGCAGCGGCGGACGGGGCTTAAGACCATTAGGAGGACATACAAGTGATATACATTGGGCAACACATCCCTCAGGAGAGCAGCAACAGTTGCTGCTGCCAGGAGAAGCGCAGCAGCAGCCGCCGTCCTGCTTTTCTTTCTGCTCTTTCGCTAGGTCGAGCTTGCTGCTCGAGTGGCCTGGGCTGTTTCCTTCGCTGCTGCTGCAGCCGTCTGGATTCTGCGTCAGTAGAGATATGACACTCGGCAGAGCGCTGCTAGCTGCGCGACTCACAGCAGCAGCAGAAACCGCGTCACGGGCCTGGGCCCTTGCTGCGGAGCTGCTGACAGGTTGCTGCTGCCGCTCCTGCTGATGCTGCTGCTGCTGCTCCTGCTCCTGCTGCTCCTCCTGCTGCTGCTCCTCCTGCTGCTGCCCCTGCTGCTGCTCCTCCTGCTGCTGCTCCTGCTGCTGCGCCTCCTGCTGCTGCTGTTGCTCCTGCTCCTCTCCCTGCTCCTGCTGCTCCTGCTGCTCCTGCTGCTGCTCCTGCTGCTCATGCTGCTGCTGCTGCTGCTTCGGATGAGCACATATTGAAGCGCGCCGGGAGGCCTTGCCGCTGTTCGGCAGATATTCTACAAGGCTTCGTTGGGTTGACATGGGCGGCCTTCCAGCGCCAGCAGCAGGCGATGCAGGAGCAACAGGTGCTGCTGCTGCTGCTGCTGCTCCTGACATTCTGGGTGTCGCTGCTGTTGCTTCGAGTAGTGCCTTCTTGCTTCTTTGAAGGTGTCTGCCGCCGATCCTCTCACTTGTTGGAGTTTTTACTCTTTGCATGCGGTGGCTCCTGTTTAATTTCGTGGTTTTCAAACGGGGGGTTGGTGCCTGGCTGTCAGGTGTGCGTGCGCCCCACTGCTGTTGCTGCTGCGCGCTCTGCTGTAATTGACCTGCTTCCAGGCTTCCACGAGGTCTCTTTGGGGTTTGCGCTGGCGTTTTGAGGCCACTAGCAGCAGACACAGCAGCTGCAGCTACTGCAGCTGCAGAGTCGGCCGTGGCTGAACTGTTTCCTGAGGACTGCTGGGCATTTTGTGGTTTTGTGGCAGCCGCAGTCCGAGATAGGGTCGCAAACACAGGTGTTCTTGCGTCTTGTCTGCTGCTGCCTTTTTCACTGTCACTGCTGCTTCCGCTGTCAACAGTGAAGCAGCCATCAAAAGGCGCAGTTGGAACTGCCTTCGTGAGGGATCCACCCGCGGCCTCCTGATGCACCTGTTCTTTCGGCGCCAGGTCTCGATGCTGGCATTCCTGGTGCCTTTGCATCTGCTTGGGACATTGTTGCTGGTCCTGCTGCGGTGGCTGGTTCTGTGAAGGCGACTCATCTTCGGGCTGCTCCACTGAATCTACGACTATGAAGCATGGCTCTGGCGTGCTGCTGCTGCTGCTGTTGCTGCTGTTACTCTTGCCAGTGCCGCTGTATGTATTGCTGCTGTTGCTGCTACTGCTCTTGCCAGTGCCGTTGCTTGAGTTGCTGCTGCAAATGCTGCTACTGGGGTCGTGGCTGCTGCTGTTGATACTTGAGAAGGCTACGCTCAAGAGGTTCCGCTGAAGGTGTTGCTGCTGTTGCCTCAGTGCTCCTTCCTGCTGCTCCGTCCGCAGCTGCTGCAGCAGCAGCGTAATCCCGCGGTAGTCTTCCAGTGGGCACACACTGCAGCAAAGCAGGAAAACGCAGTCGTAACCGCCAACAGAGCAGAATACAGGAACCAAGCCAGAGGGCTCACACACTTTGTCGCTGAGGCATCGGCGGCATCCCCAATGCAGCAGCAACAATAGATGCAGCAACATTAATAAACTTAGGTGCGCACTCGCTGAGACTCTCTCTCCACAGCGCCTCCAGCTCTGTGTACAAGTCTTCTGCCGACTGTACCCCAAACCCGTCGCTCCTAGTTCTTTTGCTGCTGCCGCTGCTCCTGCTGCCAATGACACGCGATCCCCTTGCCGAGTCGCATATTCCACAGCCCAAGAACTTCACCGTATTCACGGGGGCCCCTGGCCGTCGGTAAAGTATCTGCAGCAGCAACACCATCAGCGGTGGGAGCTGAGCACCTTTACAACGTCTCCATCTCTTCTAATTCAGGTCTAAGGAAAAGGCTTGCCACACAGCATTTCCACTGGCGCCTAGGGGTTTTGCAGCTATGGTCGGAGCTTAAGAACTAGACTCGGAGTCTAAATACAGATAAAAGGGACCAAGAATCGGGAAAATCTTTGCTCAAACGAAAGGAATCGGGGTGAGGGGCCTGCCTTAGCGGAAATCTTGGCACTGTATAATCTGTTTGCTTTGAGTCGCTTGTGGCCTTCAAGGGCCATTTGCTTGAGAAGGCTCAGTGCATCTGCCTCTTGTTGCAGACGAATCCCCCAGTTCACAGAAATGCTTAGCGACCCACTTGCCGGTATGCCGCTGCCTCCGGCTGCTGATGCTCCTGCTGTGGTCCCGGCACTTGGTCCCGCTCCAGCAGCAGAATTACCCAACTCAGGAATTGCAAGGAGAGCAGCAGGAGGCGGTCGCACATCTACTCCGTGACAGAGCCACCACAGCTGAGCCCCTCGCTTTCGACCTGCGGGACAAAATGTTACAGTAAAAGAGCCTGACATTACTTGGAGGTGAGCTGCACCTGAGGTGCACCTGAGGCTGCTCTAAAGTCCTCTCTTTGCAGTAGCCGTGCACTTCATACCAAGTGCAGTCTGCAGCAGCTGCAGCGAGTCCTTGCTCTGTGTCTGGACGTCAGTGCAGGTCTTGACATTTACTCCTGCTGCTCGTGCTGCAGCAGCAACTTTTGACGCCACTGTGGGCCCTACGCCCGGCACTTGGCGCAACAACAGCCGCCCCACAAATGCTGCTGCACTTGCTGCTCCCGGTTTCACCACGCATACACCTTCCCGCTGAATCACTGCTGCCGTTTCAGCTCGTGCTGCACTAGAACCTTTTGACGCATCAGCAGCTTCCGCTGAAGGCTTTGCTGCAGCCGTCGCCAGTTTTGCCAGGAGACAATTGCAGCCAGCTCCCACAGAAACCTTGCAGCCAGTGATTCCAATTATGGCTTTTCTTAACGACATGCAAACATCCGCCACGATCTCAGCTTCGTCTACTCTGTTGCTACTGTCGTTGTTGCTCCTGCCACTATTGTTGTAGTCGCTGCCACTGCTTGCGCTGTTGCTGCTCCTGCAGCAGCTGTGATCGGTAGTTTCGTTGCTAGAGCTGCTATTGGCGGCATTCTGGTGTGAGCTAATGCTGCTGCTGCTTTTAAGATGAGTGGCAAGGGCCCCTTCTGCTTGGGTTAGCAGCGGAAAGCAAATCTGAATGAAAGTCTGCAGCACAAACAAACGCACCGACTTAGCTCTCGCTTCTGCTGCAGCTAAAGCCGTTGCCACTACTGATGCAGCTGCCGCTTTCCCGGAAGACCCACAGCCTTCCTGCTCCCTCAGTGGGCTTCTCTCCCATAGCCATGCCCCAACAGTGCAGCGTCAGGTTCTACAAACAAGTATTTGGCCTTATAATGAGGACATTAGACCCGAAGCGGAGTTCCTTAGGACCAAGCCTCATTAACTAGCAAAGAGCCCCGAATTGCCCGTACAGCGCAGGCTGTGTGTGCGTCTGTGCTGCCTGACCTCATCGCAGGAAAGCGGCGCGATTCTGTGCGACAAAGACAGAGCTGCCTGAAAAAGGCCTTCACTTGCTCTTTCTATGCCTTCGAAATCATAAGGAAGAAGCACCAAAGAAGGACAGCGATCTAGCGCCGGCCGCAGCCACATGCCCTTCTCCACGCCTTGAGACCGCGCGATGTAGTTGCAACTCGCTATCTCCGACGTACCCCTGCCACGACCACCTGCTGCTGCTGCTGCGCCTGCTGCGGGCGCCTTCCCTGTAGCTGCTGCTACAGCCGCCGCTAAGTAACAGAAACACAACGCAAACGCCAACACTGCCGGTTAAAAGGCATGACAAACAGGGGCGAAAACCGGGGACTAGTTCCCGGCACCAGCAGCAGCAGCAACAAGCGCAAAACACAGCAGGAACGGCTAATTGCTCACAAGCAGCAGCAGGAGCAGCAGCAGCAGCAGATAGAACAACAGCAAAGGGAGGGGGCAGTCGGCCTCGCCAAAACTGGCTGTATCATTCTTACGTGTAGGCTCAGCAAATGCTCGATGTCCTCTTGAGTGACATACTGCCACCTGTAGCAGCAGCAGCACACAACCGCAGCAGTAGAAAAGCATCTGCAGCAGCAGCAGGTCCTCAAGACCTTCGTCAGCCAAGCATCTGCTGAGGGAACCCTTCCCGCGAGTGCAGAAAAGGTACAGTGCAAGGTTTAATCCTTTAGCAGCAGGAACAGCAACAGCAACAGCAGCCGCAACGGCCGCAGCAAACCAACAGCAACGAAAATCACTATGCACCGGTTTGTCCTTCAGGTGGGGATGCTTAAGGAGGGCCACGGAGACAAAGAAAGCATCGAAATCGACGTGCAAAATCCACCTCCCTTCTGCTGCAGCCGTCGTTGCCGCTGCTCCAGGAAGTGCTGTTGCTCCTCCTGCTGCTGCTGCCCTTGCGTTGGGTGAACGCAGAAGCAACGGAGAGTGGGCAGCAGCAGCAGCACCAGCAAAATCGCTTTCATGTGACAGTGTCAAGCCCAGCGGGAGCAGCAGCGGCTCCAGCTCCTTGCTGGTGATTGACGCGTCTACCCACCGAGGTACAACTTGTAGCTGGGGCCCTCTACTGCTGCTGCTGCTGCTGTGCAGCAGACGCGACAGCATGGAGGCACAACGGTTCTGCCAGGCCCCAATGAAGTGGAGGCGAGAATGTTCAAAAAACGAAGAGACAAAATCGGGCCGCCGGCAGTCAACGGCGCCTCTATTCCCCTCACCACTTGATAGGCCTGCAGCGGCTCCTGCTGCTGCTCCTGCAACCGCGGCTCCTGCTGCTGCGGCTCCTGTTTGTGTGGCTCCTGCTGCTGCCATTCCTGCTGCTGTGTGTTCTCCCGCCAATGAGACGATCCCTGTTGGTTCTTCTAGTGATCGGGAAACTCCTGCAGCAGCTGCTGCTGCTGGAGCTGCTGGAGCTGCTGTGGGGATGCGCAATACGCTTGAAGCCAGTAATGCGCTTGCTGCTGTGTCCTGTGCTGCTGCTGCATCTTGCGCCGCTGTTACTGTTGCTGCTGTAATGACGTGTGCTCCTGCCAAAGTATTTGCTTTTCCCGAAGCATTTACGGCTGCTGCAGGTCGCGCTGCGGCAGCCAATGGGGAGCTTGCAGTTGTTTGCCCTGGCATAGCTACAGCAGCGCAAGCAGCTGCTGCTCCAGCAAACGGTGCAGCAGCAGCAGCCCCAGCTGCGGCAACGGCGCCTCCAGCAGCAGCAAGATCTACTGCAGCAGAAACAGGAACCGCCACATCGGCTACAGAGTAAGAAGCCTCAGTTCGAATCTTCTTTGGATGGGGTTGGCCTTGCTCCTGCTGCTGCTGCTGCTGCTCTTCGTCGCTGCTGGATTCAAGCTCGAGCAGCACCCCATCTCCTTCAGTGGCAGCAGCGGCAGCTGTTGCCGCTGCCGCTGCTGCTGCTGCACTTGCGGGGCCTCCCACAACTGTTTCATTGACTCTCCCGGAGTCCCCAGTCCGCCCCAGTTTTGCTGCTGCAGCAACTCCGGGCTTTCCCTGAGCCTCCTGTTCATCAAGTGCAGCAGTAGAAGATCCCACAGGCTGGCCCAGCACCTCTGCTGCTTGGCCCGGGGCCACCCCTTGCTGTGGCTGGCGGCCTTCAGCAGCAACAGCCCAGCCCTGCAGCAGCAAGTGCTGGTTTGCAAGCTGGAGGCCCGTGGGCTTGAAGAGCGCAGGAGACAAAAGTCGTTTTGCTGCAATGCAAGAGAAGACCCACGAGCAGCGCACCACCACGTAACTCCGCGCCCAGCCCCCTCTGTCCCTGCAGCAGAGCAGCAGCATCAGCAAGAACAGCAACAAAAACGAGTGCAGCAGCAGCAACGATGGCAGCAGCAGCGGCGAATGCAGCAGCAGCAACGAAGGCAGCAGCGCCGGGAACGCCGCGCAGCTCTGGAGGATTTGAAGCCACTTGGCTCCACATAGCACTAGCACTTCGGTTTCTTTCAACAGTCGCAGCAACAGTTGCTGCTGCTGCAGCAGCGCACAGAACAGCAGCAGCAGCAGCGAGCAGCTAACCGCAGCTTTCTCCACTTCTGGTTGCCCAGCGCGAGATTGTCAACCAACACGTGAGTGACCCCTTTGCCCATCATGATCGAAATGCTTCCCCCGTGAGCCACCAAAACCCTCTTCAGCTGCACAGCGTCTACCACATACTCATCCACGCAGGGTCCCGCTGAGGGGCCCCCGGGGGTGCCCCCTGAGGGGCCCTTTGGGAGGCCCCCTGAGGGGCCCCCTGAAGGGTTCCTTGAGGGGCCCCCTGCTGAGACGCCTGAGAAGCTCCATGGCGAACCTTCCAACTTCCCTTTTGCAGAAGGCCCACTGAAGTTTCCAGCCGCGCTCGTCGTGGGGGCCCCTGGGGGGCCCCTCCCAGGCCCCCCTAAGGGGCCTCTGGGGCCTATGCCTGCATCAGGAGCCTCGCTGTAGCCTGTAGAGATTAACTCGTAGCCCTGGAGGCGTTGCAGGCCGTCGATGTAAAAGGTGAGGGAGGAAAAGAGAGATGAGGGCTGCTGCACATATCTGTTCCACCAACGCAGCTCCCTGCTGCTGCTGCTGCTGCTGCTTTCGCGTACGCGCTCTGAAGCTAGGGAGTTCTGAAGTTGCTGCTGAACTTTGCGAGTCTTTGCCCCCAAGTAATCCCCAAAGCCACTCCAATTCCCGCCACCAAACATCTGCTGCTGCAGCCACTATCGCTGCAGTTGGCGCTACTGCTGCTGCTGCTGCACTTCCGGATGCAGCTGTAAGTCCGTGCGCGGCTCACAGAGTGGGGTTTTCAGTCAAGTTCAATAGCCAACGGAAGCAGTGAGTGGCGGTGTGAGTTGCAGCAGCTGCTGCTGCTGCGACTGCGGCACTGAAAGGAGCCAGCTACCGGCTGCAGCTCGTAATAACGCTGATATGTCTAAAGGCTCCTCCAGCGCCTCCTTCGGTGCCTCCTAATTTGGCCCTTCGAGTGTACGTCCACTGCAGCAGCCCAGCAGCTGCGCAATTGCTGGAGCCGCAGAGGCCCTTGCAGCCTTCAGCCGGGCCCCCTACAGAGTGCCAACATTCAAAATTACCTCTATTACCTTTTAGATATCCTTTTTCGCTGCGCCTCACCTAAGTTCCTGGGTGTTGCTGGCTCTACGGAGGGGGGCCCCCAAGGCTGCTGCGCAAAGTCGCAGACTCCGCTGAGGGACTGCGGGCCTCTCAGTGGGCCCCTCACCAAGGCCTGCAACTTTGCAAATGTCCCTTCAAAGGTTCGAGTGCGGTATTTAAAAACATTATTAACTTTCCTTTTGTTATTTTTATCCGTTTAGACATTGTTTAGCGTTGCAGAGGCTATAGGCGGCTTCGAAGGCAACAGCAGACCAAGAAGGACAGCAGCACAAAGGCTCCGTAAGGCCCTCGGCGCATGCAGGGTGGCAAAGACAGCAGCTGCAGTAGTAACTTCCGCAGCAGCTGCAGCGACTGAGGCGGGCTTCATGAGGAAGTCTGCGAAGGTCGGCCGGTATCGTCAAGGGGAGCAGCAGCCGCTGCAGCAGAAAAACCCATCAAAACAGCAGCAGCAGCAACGGCAGCAGAATGGCAGCTGCAGCCTCCTCTTCCCGTCAGCCTGACGAAGGCATTGGCACCAGCCACCGCCGCCGACGGCTCGCCCCTAGCCAAGATGGGGCCCCACGCCACAAGGGGCCCCGGGGGCCCCCCAGGGGGCCCCCCGGGCGAAAGGGCCGCCCTAGTGGCGGCCAGGGGACCGGGGCCCCCCAGAAGCTGCGGCAGCGGGAGAAGCTGGAAATAGCGGAGCTGCAGCAGCGCATTCTGCTGGAGATGCCTCCTCCTGGGGGCCAGTGGCTGCCCCCGTCGCTTGCTGCAATTCAGGAGCAGCAGCAGCGCGCCCAAAGCAGCAGCAGCAGCAGCAGCAGCAGCAGCAAGGGGGGAAAGCACGGCGTGTTGACTGACAAGGTGTTCGCAGACTTGCCTCTCTCGGGGCTCACGCAAAAGGGACTGGCAGCTTGCGGCTTCAGCCGACTGACACAAATCCAAGCAGCAGCAATTCCACATGCACTTGCTGGCAGAGATGTCAAGGCACAGGCTAAGACGGGCAGTGGCAAGACCCTCGCCTTTGTTATCCCCGTAAACATACTCTGCTGTTGATGCTGCTGGTGCTGCTGCTGGGGGGCGGGCTGGAGCTGCTGTTGGCGCTGCTGCTAGCGCCTTCGCCGTTGCTGCTAGGGGTGCTGCTGCTGCCAGTGCTGCTGCTGCAGCTGCTGCTGCTGCTGAGGGGGGGGTTTCTGCGCAGATATTGGAGCGCCTCTTCCGGGAGGAGATTTGCGGGCCAGATGGCACTGCAGCAATTATCTTGACCCCCACAAGAGAGCTAGCAGTGCAGATCTTTGACGTATTTAAAGCGGTTGGCCAGTGAGGCTCTCCTTGCTGCTGCTGCCGCCCCTGCTGCTGCTGCTGCTGCTGCTGCTGGGGGTCGGGCTAGAGCTAACCGGTGCAGCTGCTGTTGATGCGTCACTGCGTTTGCTGCACCAGTGGTGCCTCTGCTGCTGCTGCTGCTGCTGCTGCTGCTGCTGCTATTCAGACATCACGAATTCTCGATAGGCTGCTTAATTGGGGGCAAAGGAGTGGAAGCTGAGGCAGAACGCATTGGCCAGCTAAACATAATTGTTGCTACGCCTGGCCGCCTGCTGCAGCACATTGATGAGTCCCCCATGTGGGATGCTAGTAGACTTTTGATCCTAGGCAAGCCTTGCCTCTGCTCCTGTTGCTGCTGCTACTGCTGCTGTTGCTGCTGCCGTTGTTGCTGCTACATCTGCTGTTGCTGCTGCTTCTTCCCTTCCCATTGCAGCTCGCCTGTTCTGCGTTTTTGACGTCCCTGCTGCAGCCATAGATGAAGCAGACCGCCTGGTGGACTTGGGCTTTCAACAGACAATGGAGTTGATTGTTGCTGCTCTGCCCCCCACAAGGCAGACGCTGCTGTTCTCTGCGACTTTGCGCAGCGCAGTGCACAGGCTGGGGGTGCTGCTATGCAGCAACAGCAGCAGCAGCAGCAAGCCTGAGTTCATTTGCACCGACGATCTGCGGCCGTCAGACCCCCAGCAGCAGCACCAGGAGGGGCAGCAACAGCAGAAGCAGCAGCAGGGGCTACTGAAGCAGACGTACATGGTAGTGAATGAAAAGCACAAAACATCGGCATTGTTTTCTATTTTGAGGGCCCAATGCAAAAAGAAGATAATTGTTTTTGTCTCTTCTTGCAAACAGGCGAAATTCATACACGACGCATTCAAGCAACTCAAGCCCGGTGAGCCTTCCGGCGTGCTGCGGTTGCTGCTGTTGCTGCTGCAGTTGCTGCTGTTGCTGTTGTGGCTGCTGCTGCTGCTGCTGACACGACTTTTCAGCCAGCACAGCAGCCCGCTCCTGCAGTTCCCCGTTGTTCCAGATGCCACTAAGGCCTCGGGCCTCGGGCAATTGTGAGGCTTAAGAGCTTGAAATTTATTATTATACATTATATTCTTGGCAAAATATATTAAATACTTTTAGCATAGTGTTTGTTATTGCACTCTGCGCAGGCTTGTCTCTGCTGTATTTGCACGGGCGCCAGAAGCAGCAGAAGCGCCTGGATGTGTTTCAAGATTTTGTGTCTCGCACTTCTCCTTGCTGCTTAATTAGCACCGACTTGGCCGCCCGCGGAATAGACTTTGTGCAGTCTGGGGGCCTCCTGGGGTCCGCGGGAGGCAGTAGAAAGAAGAAGCAGGAGGAGGCAGAGGGGGCCCTCTCTGCTGTCGATCTCGTTATTCAGTTCGACTGTCCAGACAGCACAGAGACGCACCTCCACCGCATAGGAAGAACAGCAAGACTGACGAGGAAAGGACACGCTGTGCTGCTGCTACTGCCTTCGGAAGCCTCCTTTGTGTTGGAGCTGCAGGCTAAAGGGGTCGGCACAAAGCCCAATCTGCAGCCGCACGACCTGCTGTTGCTGCTGCTGCTGTGCTGCTTCTGCTGTAGCCGTTAATGCCGCCTTTAGCCACAAGCCTAACACATCCTCGGCGTCTGCTGCTGCATCGCTGGGCTTTCTGCGCGGCGTGGCCCTTGCCCCTTGCTGCTGCTGCTGCTGCAACCGACGTGACTACTGCAACCTGCGTGGCTGTGCTTATCGCTGTATCACTTTTGGCCGCTGGGTTGCTTTCGATGCGACATGTTGCACCGCAGGGGATGCTGTGCTGGTCAGTTACTGTGGGTATTGAACCAGCTGCTTCTCTGTCGCTTTTATTAGCATTTTGCCTTTTTCTGTCCTTTTCTGCCCGCAGATGGTTCTGCAAAGGATAAACATGAACCCCAAGAAAGCCATTCGCATTGAAAGCAAACTCCAAGCACTCCTTGCTGCCGAGTCCGTTCCTCCGTAGTTCGGGTTTTAGGGTATATGACATGCATTGCAGGGTTCAGGGTTCGGAATTCGCCACTGACGCTGCTTAGGGCTGGCTGTTAGCTTTTAAAGTGGAGGACTCCTTTGAGTGGCAACATGCAGGGCGATCTTACGAGTGGTCCACGGCGCGGCTGGCATGCGTTTTGCTGTTATTGCCGCTGCTATTTTTGGTGCTGCTGCTTTCACTTCCTCTGCTGTTTTTCTTCTCTCGTGATTCCCGTTTCTGCAACCATTTGTATCGGTAGACTTCCTGCTTCCGCTGCAAACAGTGTTGCTGCTGCAGATTTTGCTGCGGGTGGCAACGGTGGCCTTGTTGCTGGTGCTGTTGTGGCTGCTGCAGTCCGTCTCTCAAGGCATTGGCACAACAAGCTGTTGCTGCTTATTTGCGTTGTTTGTCGGTGATGCCAAACAAAAAGGTATTCAACGTAAACGCGATCGACCTGCAGCAGCTAGCTCTTTGCTACGGCCTTTCAATTGCTCCTTCAATAGAGCATTTGGCAGCCACAGACCAGCAGCAGCAGCAGCAGCAGCAGCAAGGTGAGGGTGAGTGGGACCCTGCGATGTTTGGGGGGGCGGTTGCAAGCGGAGAAAATAAGAAAAAAAATATGTCGAAATTGGCAAGGCTAAAGGTGAGGGCCACAGCAGCTTTCCCCACTACTTTTCCCACTGCTGCTTTTGCCGACTTTGCAGCAGCTGCTGCTGCCACTCCTACCGCTGCTGCTTTGAGCCAGTGGGTGGGATGTGCGGCTAATGATATGTTTTTCAGGAACAAATCCGCGCAAAGAAGCTACTCAAGCAACAGATGCGACTACAACAGCAGCAGCATGAGCAGCAAGAACAAGAAGAGCAGCAGCGTGAAGGGTCTGTAGAAGAAGGCTCAAAGAAAGACAAGCAGCCTCGGAAACCAGGAGTTGTCAGCGGCAAAAGCAGCACATCAGCAGATGATGTAGGGGACTTTTTGGAGCTAAAGGAACAGAATGCCGAGCCTCCGGAGGAGTCAGCGAAAGAAAGAAACCAAAAGCTGCAAGAACTGCTGCTGCAGAAACCAGGTAACAGATGCCAGGGAGTTGAGTTCAGACTTTAGCCGTTGCAGTTAAGCATTGACGGTATGAGGGTTTTGTCACGTCTTAGGATTTGACATTTCCCTTGCGTTTTTTTAGCACGGTCTGGTTGGCTCTTTTTTGTCGTTGTACTCTTCTTGACAAACTTTCAACTTCTCCCTGCCAAATTTCCATTTAGTCTGCGGGGTTTTCGTTTAATTTGTGGCAGTTCTCGCCCCCATTTAATCGCGCGCGTCAGTTTTAAGGGCATTTGGACCATCTGATATTTATTAGTTATTCTCCCGACAACTATGTCTGTCTGTTAACTTTTTCTGTTGGGTTCAGCATACACACTAGTCAGCTTGATATTTTGCTGCATTTTTGTGCATGCACATTACTGTATTCCGGTCTTGTACTTGTGGATTTGTTTCTCTGCTGCAGCCTACCGAAGGGAACGGCTGCAGTTTCGCGCGGATGGTTCGGCGAAGATAAAAGGGCTTGCTGCTGCTTCCTCTAATTCGCACATTATCTTTAATGAAGATGAAGAGACAGATGAAGAAGCGACACAACAGCCAGAAACACAAGCCGGCAGCAGCAGCGGCGACAGTGGCGTGACACAGGAGCTGCGGGAAACGTTTCTGCAGCGAATGAGGGCCAAGATGGAATCCGTGCACCAAAGTGACAAGGTGCTGAATGAGGACAAAACCCGAGTCAATTAGCATCTGCCATATTTTCGTCATCAGCTTGATATAATTCTGTTACTTGAGTGAAAATAACCAAGCGCGGCCAGTTTAGGGTACATGTGACCGCAGCAGGAGGCTTGCTTGCTCGCGATATGACAGTCAGATAAAATTCAGCTGAAAGTACCGGAAACAAATTTAGCTCTGCTAAAACTAGTGAAAAGGACTTGATTAACTGCCTGTGTTCATTCTACGCTGAGACCTCGGGAGCGAGTGTTGTGCTGCGGGATTTGCAGGTTCGCGACCAACAAAGGGTGAAGGAAAGACACTCAAAGAAAAGGAAGAAAGAAAGGATGGCCCGGCAGGGAGAAGCAGCGGGTGCGGCTCAATCATGCGTTTGTTTTGTTCTGGCCATTTTGTCTTTGGTGCTGTGTCCGTGTTCACGTGTGTGTGTCTCTTCGGTCGTTCTTTTCCCACCATTGTCTGTAGCTTTGTCTTTGTTTTCCGTTTCCATGTGCTAACTTGTGCTCAAACACTTTTGTTTTTGCCTTTAATTGCTTACGCGCGCCTCTGAATAGCGTACGTGAGAAAGTTCACCAAGTGCCAGTCTGAATTGAGAAAGTTCACCAAGATCCAGGCAAATCTCGACTCTCTTCTCCCTCCATTTGTATTTGCACTTATAGTAAGGTTTGTTCGTTTTTGTCTTCCATGCATGTCTTTTTTTGTAATGTTTTGTTTCTTTGCCCGGCAGGAGGAGCTGTAGCCTTTTTGGATGCAAAAGATAGCAGCAGTGAAGTGGCGGCATCAGATACAACTACAACCGACTCAGATGAAGACGCAGGGGCTCACAGAGATAAAATGAGCAAGAAGATATCTCATCAACCCCCTAAGAAAAAGAGAAAAGAAGCGTCACTCTCTCTAGAAGAGCTAGAGCGACTAGCACTGGAGGGAGCTGGAGAAATGTAATGAACAATGCGTGCGTGCAAACATTTTATGAATGTAGGCAACGCGTTCTTTTAGACCTTTTTTGACTGCTTATCGCAAAGATGAGCTAGTAGTTTGAAGGGGCGAGCTAGTTAGTCTGCCAATGCATTGCTGCTAGTAAGTGGAGTTATAGGTGTTGCTCGCTGTCCATGAGTAGTACGAAGCGATACAGAATATAGGTGACGTATTCATATTTTACCAGCATAGGAGCTTACAGCAGTGCTTCTGCGGCCAAAATCAGCCTTCAACGAAGCTGTGCTGCTCCTTAATCTGCATTCGAGATAATGAGGTGCGGGATCCGCTACGGAAGAGCTACGGGCACTCCACTCCTGGCTTAGAAAGAACTCAACGGGTCCAGCCACAAAGTGCACAATGGATTCTTCGCCCGACGGAATGCTGGCGCAGACCAGCTCTGTAAACTAACTGGTGGATATGGCTAAGTCGGCTACTGCAAGACTGGGCAACAAGGACAACCTGGCGTCGCCGCCCATAAAGATATGCGCTTGTCGCATCTCGTGAGACTCAACACCAACGCATTCCCACTACGATATAACAGCCGCTATGGTACGCCTCGGCGCCTGGTGCAAATCCGTAAACGGCGGACGTCATTCTACACCACAGGCGGCTGGAGCACCCCTGTGCAATTAAATAGCTTGAAGTATGGTACTTTACAAGATTCTGTGGAGCCTGACCCACTCTACAATGAGCTGCTGGAAGGCACTTCGGGTGCCGCCAGCCACCATGTGTTGATTGCTTTTGCGGAACGCATGGGACCCCAATAAGGTCGAAGGGTGAGGACAACCCCAAATGTCTTGTTTGAAAGCTAATTTGCATGGATTACGGCTTTATACTTGTCGGCTAGTGAGTGCTGATAGTGTGTGTCTGTGCCTCCTGCTTCCCCGTCACACAAAACCGTTAAACCGAGCGCAATAGGCAGTCTATTATTTCCGTTGAAAAAGCAATAAAACATAAAAAGGGAATAAAACAAAGTTTCACACCTAACTGTGCACCTTTCAGAGCGTTTTTCACGCGACTACGCGTAATAGCCACCTTTCCATACTGAAGCTTGCCATTCAGCACATGCATTAGTTCCAGGTCTCAAAATGAAATTGATCCGTCCGCTCAAATCTGCTGTTTTAACCGAACGTATTTGTATTTATTCGTCTATTCGCATGTCCTTGAGGCTTTCTTTGTGCAACCGATCGAAGCCCAGCACAAGGGAACCTTAACAAGAGCTTGGCATAGAACAACTTCAGTGGAGCACAAATAGGAAGTACCACAGAGACACCGCTAGCTAGGACGAAGGCACGGCAGGAAGCGTAAAATACGTGTCCTTGCCTCCACAGTTGCTGCCGTTTGGGCATGCACTTCCCCGAAGTCCACTGAATTCGATAACAGTGACATAGTCACAAAGACGCACACTCTCAAACACAAAGAATGTTACCCTTAGTATCATTGTAAACACACATGGCTTCATCACCTGACTTTTCACGGGCTGAAAGACTTGCCACTCGCTGAGCTCCTGTTCCTGCTGGGACGTGCTGCCTTCCTGCATTATCCTCATCTGTCTAGTATATTCTGGGCACATGAATCGTAGAAGCTACACAATGCAGGTCATATTTGGTGGCTGAGATAGTTACTGAGTGTCCAATGCGAGAACATGCCATGTATGGTCGCTGAGATAGGTAGATTGTTGAATGCGAAGACGATCTAGTGTAACACTGATAAATTGCCGGCACAGCCCTCCTACTGCAGCCATATCCCCCGCTAAAGCAAAAAAAAAGCAGCGCTTAAAACTAAGCCTTTATTTTTTTTAAAATCTTGATTCGAAAAGCACTTAGAATAGATGCCAATGGAGTGCCTGCATCTGTGCAGCTTCCAGCCAGCGAAGCAGCAGCAAGTGCCTGGTCGGCTACTCCGCCAAGCATGCACGAGACGCTACGATTTCACGGGGCGTGTGAGATTAAAAAGTACCGTAACATTTGTGTGTATCACTCCATAACTTACACAAATAATTCAATTCTAGTAAGTACTCAGCTACCTGCAAAAGTGCTCTGCTTTCGATCGACTTCAACAGTGTTTAGTCCTGCACATCAGGGAATGGGGCTGACGCGGTACCAAATGAGCTGTGACATTGCCTGCGGTCTGCTCTATTGCATAGATTCAGCATTTTTTTAGTAATTGGCTTTGTGTTTTCAAAATGGTAGCCCTGATTCCGGTTCCTCCCCCTGGTGCCTTCATAAATCTGATTTACCCTGCTGCCTTTGCAGGTCGCATTTGGGCGAGAGCCAGACTGCGCTACAACTCTTCCCGATCTCTCTTCGCCTCCACAATGGCACTCAACAGCGCCCAGGATGTTCCTCAGTGGGTTGACAGCCTTGTCAACGGACACAAGGTCACTGTCTTCGCGAAAACGTATGTCCTACAGCGGCAGAGTCGAAGCTTCGCTTTCTCGCGGTTTCTGTAGCCAAAGGAGAGAAGCTGAGTTTTGCTCAGTAGCTCTAAAGAAGCTTATGTTGCGTTGCGTTTCGTGTTTGAAGGCACTGCCCCTACTGCCAGGCTGCTATTGCGGCCCTGAGGAGCTTGAATGTTAGCGACATGGTGAGATTATAGCTTCACACTGAAACCTGCAGATCTTTGTGTTATGTAGACGTACTGTACAACCGTTGTGCCGATGTCATATCTAAATTAGTATGGTTTCCGCTTGGTCTTAGGGCAGCATGGAACTAACTGTTGGTGGTGTTACGCCTTTACTGGTCGTTTTCAGTGTTGCCTTTTTTGAACCGGGTTCCATGCCTTAGGACAATTTTTTCTTATTTCGTTGCTTTGCTTTTTTTGTCAACACCTTCAGTACGTTCTCCAGCTGTGTTCGTTGTATTGCCTGTTTAAATTTTCACGTGTGCCGTTGTCTTTCCTTGCCCCAGCACGTGGAGCAAATAGAGAACAACCCGCACTGCAACGCCATTCAAGACTATTTGAAGGAGAAGACAGGTGCAAGATCCGTGCCTCGTGTATTTATAAATGGCACTTTCTTTGGTGGCGGCGATGACACGGTGAGTTGGTTGTCAGTTCATCGGAAGAATACCGCAACCGACGTAGAAAGACACGACACTGCTCAGTGCAAATGAAGCAAAAAGACACAGAAATTCAGTGTGTGCCGTTTCGCTATAAGAGAATGTTTTGGCAATTTTCTGTTTGTTCGGGAGGGACCGCTAGACTTGTATTCTGGAAGTGCAGATGCGTATTGTAAGTAAACGCCCGAGTGTTTTGCGTTTCCTGCTCCTTTCAGGTAGCGGGAGTGAAGAATGGCACTCTGCAGAAGTTGGTCGCAGCTTGAAACTTTGGTTTTCCGTTCCCCAGCGACGCACAGTCACGCGAATAAATGCATATTCCGGATGTCCAGACCCGGATCCACGCAATGCAGTGCAGCTTTTAGCTAGCATGCAGAATTATGCTTGTGAATATGAGCAGTCCGTGCTCCGGCTTGGCCAGCCCGTTCGTTACTGACTGCAGTACGATGCCTGGAGCAATTTGTAAAAACCTTTCCAACCGTTAATATTCCTGGCGTAGTTTCCAAAGAGCCTCTAGTCAGCTCCTTGTACAACACAGCACAATGGGAGTCTTTCCCCAGTTATGCAAATCCGAATCCGCGGAAATGGCCCAGGCAGACGGCCCAAGGGATAATGAAAGGAATTGCCACGGCTCCAGCAGCCGGCCTTAACGAACTACAGTTGCCGGACAGCTGCCGAGCACTAACTAGCTATCCGGGGAAGCAGCTACCTGCCCGCTAGCACATGACTTATCAACGATTGTCCAGTAAAAAGTTATGCGCAGGTAAAACCTGTGGCAAGCATTCACTGCATAGCGCTGACGGCGAATCTACTTCAAGAAAAGCCACGTTGTTTGTATCCGAACATTCGTCGCCTCGCGGTGCCACTGCAGCTGGCGCTCAAACAGCGGCGAAGCCAAAAGCCCGCCCCCGCCGTCGCGCACAACCCGTCTGGAGGGCAGCAGTCGGCGGCCCCCACAGCCCACGAGAACCCACGCGGGTGGCTGTTGGGAGGACAGAAGAACAATGACACGTTTGACGACATCTGCGAACCCCGTGAACAGTGTCACGCACCACCACTTGAAACTCGGCCGGAGGAACGCACTCAGTATATCGCCATCGCACCCCCCAAAACAGATCTAGGCATGCAACAAAATCGCGCATCACGCCGGACAAAGTGTCTGTGTTATCGGACGTTAGCAAAATGGTCATAAATGCAATACAGTGCCATGGAATCCTCAGATCTACTGCTCGCCGCTGCCAGCAGATCCTTCCTCCTGCTGCTCCTTCTGGCGGATCGCGCCGCTCAGTCCCTCCTTCAGACCCACGATGGTGGCCAGGGCGTTCTCATCAATGCTGCTCTGGAACTGGCTCAGGAACTTGAGGTAGTCGGGGTCCTTGATGATCTTCTGAATGGTCTCGGGCCAGTTCTCGTTCACGGTCTGGAGCATGCTGCGCATCATGGGGTCCACCAGAGAGGCGGCGAAGGTTTCGCGCTCCTCGGGGGAGATGAGACCCAGGCGGATGAAAGCGTCGACGACGTTGTCCAGCTCCTGCTGGCTCATCTCGTCGTAGTTCAGGTGCATGCCCAGAGCCTCAGGTGAGAAAGCAGACCAGTCGATCTGGGAACCTTCACCGTTGAAGATTGCGCTCAAATCTGTGCAGAAAAAGGACAAGAGCCGCAGGAATAAATACAACACTCCGCACTTCAAAGCATCCGCGAACGCCACATACGACATAAAACCATTAAATCGCCCACAGCAACTGTCCATCCTATGGAGTGGGGAACTGCAGCGTGAGCGGGAGACACAGAGCATCTACCTCACCCCATTCACTGGCAACATGCTTGAAGCAAGAACTAGAAAACTATATGAAACATATTCAACAAATACCCGGCCTAGGGGCCGGCAAGGGGGAGAGGCCAGAGCCGCTCCACGCCGAGTGCCCCGACCCCACGGGGGGAGGCAGAGAAGATGGAATGATGGACAACGCTTGCGACTATCAACAGACGAATGCCCCTTCACTACACAAAAGAAACAATTTGCAACAGCTAAAATGAGAGAACCACGGAAGCGACATTACACTCACCCTCAGGCTTCATCTTGTTGCCGCTGTTGCTGCTGCCATCCTCGGAGGCATTGACGGCGACAGCAGCGCCCAAAGCGACGGTGAAGAAGAGGCCCTTCATTTTCGATTTGTTAATTGGAAAAGAAACCAGTTATTCGAACAGATGACTGCAGAGAAAGACGCAAATGCTCAACTGATATCCACTACAGAATACCAGAACCGCCAACATAGAGCAGGGGGAAGCAACCGCGACGGAGGAGCAGAGCGACGCGCCCTTCTGGTGCATCAGCCACCCCTACAAGCGGCAGCACCAGACCTCACAGGCTGTACGGTCGCTCACCTTTTGTAGTATGTCTTAAATTTTCTGCTTCTTAATAGTATTTCATCAATTTTTAGCAGAAAGCTTAACCCGCATTGCGCCTAGTTTATGCCAATGTATATACACAAACGCCCTCCCCCCGAGGCGCTTGGGAGGGAGCGACAAGCCAACGTTAGGGAGGCGTGCCTTCGCCACGTAAATAAATTTCGCTATTTCCGCTAGTCCATTGCTTTTTAATTTTACATTTTGTGTTTAAATTACGAAAAGCTGATACCAAAGGGCCCAAAAGGACCCTGGTAGAATCGCAGCTGTCCCTGACCCCCAGGGCGAAGGTTCATACGCTTCTCATGATCCTACACAGATGACTCCGAAGACGCGCTTTGGCAATATACTGCGCCTACAACAGCTATTCTATTCCCTGGAAACAGTAATGAAACTCAATTTAGTTGGTAAATTCTTCTTTTGGGAAAAGAAGGCCTCGATTGTAGCCCGTCTTTCACGACTGACGTTGCCGGCACTGCTCAGCGCTGTTGAATGGCCTGTCGCCCTAGCGCTAGGATCGGTTGGTTTCCCATCCCTCTGACTGGGGAAAAACCTAATACTAAATCGAGAGTTAATTTGCATTTCTGATGCTAAGTCTATCAGTAGAGGTCCTGCAAGACCTCAGACATCACAATATTCAGCAAGGATGCAACGCAACGGGTAGGAGGGTATGAAGTGACAGCGCAGGCCGCTAGGGCCAAAGTCATGTGCACCCTCGCAAAAAAAACCACAAAGTGTGACAATTTCAGTGAAATGCACCGGCAAGGGAATCGGGGGTATCGCAGTTCCCCCAAGCAGTAGTGTCAGACGGGTTTACCGTCGGCGCGCATTGAAGGTACACTGACGGCACCGCTTGTGCATTTACGGAGCAACTCTCTTCTATAAATTCAGAAGTATGGTCATTCGGATAGCGGTGGAAGCAGATGCGTGCAGTCTTTCGCACTTGGCTCTTGGGACGCTGTCCCATACAACAATGTAGGAAAGGAGCTACCTTGCTAGCATCAGCCAAGAAAGACATTTATGAGCACGTATTCAACCATTATAAGCTCATAGACGAAAGTACTCGCGTACTTTTTATCTAGCCATCCTGGGTTACTTTAGAAAAGCTGCACTCACCTAACACCCCACTAATCTAAACCAGCTTCAGTTTCATCACCTAACACTCCACTAATCTAAACCAGTTTCGGCTTCCAACACCGGCATAACTCTAGAAGGTATCTACCCTTTGACCCTCAAAAAACCTCAGGGAATGCTAGTTCTGTAGGACACACTGTAGTCACATTAGAGCGAGCAGCTTTTGAGAAGGCCAAAGAACGCAGTAAGCATTTGTCTGGTTTCTCGAAGTAAAATTGCTCTCATCTTTACGCTTGCCACTCTCAGAAATGATCGCTCTCAGTTCCGTGCCTTTGATGTATTATCCACAGCTGATGGAAGGCCCCCGTGTAGAGGCCGTACTGATCTGCTTTCTCCTAAAAGTTGTTCGCGTTTGCAGAAGAGAGCGAGCGCAATGGCGCTTCCAGAAGCAGGAGAGCTGAGAAAATAAGCGTTTTCAGCAGGATTGCATTGTCTTAAGAACATCTTTTGCACTTTCCCAGTGCCATATTCACTCATCTACAATAGGAGCGGGAGCTGCATACTCGGTCTTAACCGTAGAGGCAGTGCAAATACTTTGATTTCTTTCGGCTTGCCTCTCGCACTTATGGGGTCCTCTATGTAACTGGCACAGAGGGAACAGTGTCTTGTTTTGCAGGGCCAGTTTGTGGAGGCTCGACTCCGCCAGCCTGTGTAGGGCCAGGTCCCGAGCATTTCGCTGATTAAGCCTCTAGCAGAAGCTGTGACTTTCAGGAGTTTCTTCAGCCTCACAAATGCCGAATATCCACATCATGCAATCTCTTAGCAGATCTCATATACACATCTCTGTGGCTTCAAAGTAGCCCCACTTCTGTACGGTGGGAACAAATAGCAGACGCACTGAGAGATGCGCTTTCCACTGTGGCTTACAGCCACAGTGGAAAGGAATACCTTTAATTACGAACAAGTATATATAATATTCCGACACAGTGTTCAGCCGTAGTTAATTTGAAACACTCTACGTCTTCAAGATGCCTACAGTCCCACATATATCACTGCATAGGGCCTCTATAAGCTGCGGTTCGCTGACAACAAGGCTACTGGTATTCCTTGACGAGGCACCCACACGCCTCTTAGAGAAACAAAGGCCTTTGGCGCATTTACTTTATTGGCCCCCATGAGCTATACCTGGGGTCGAGCCAACGACAACCATGGCAGAAAAGCTCAAGCTACTTCCTGAGAGAGTACTACCAACAATGCGGCAAGGCTCCACCCAACTCAATAACTGTAGACCGAGGATAGCGCGACACTGCATGAAGCGGCACTAGCAGCTGATAACTGAAAACTTTTCTTGCCTTTCCCGCAGCAGCAACTAGTACAGGGTGCCGGCATCTTGACATCTGGTTTGTTCCGGTGAACACACCTGGCGCCACCTGCGAAAAGCAGCCATTTCTGGCTCGTGAAGCCCCTAAGACACGCGTAACTTACAGATTCTAATGCAGCCCTGGATGCATGCACGAGAGATGCAGAATACCAGGTGGCGCGACGAGACATGCGCCCTGAGATAAGACTCTCCGATATGCTGAAGGCGCCCGTGTGATGCTGCACGCCTAACAGATTACGCTGAGTTGCGCGGCAGTACCATCCCCTAAACTGTTCCCATAAAACCACTATTTGAGAAAAGCTAAAAGAATGCGATGTGCGTTGTGCTTCACAGCTCACGCTTGAGTGGCAAGGCTTCGAATCTCGACAAACGATCAGTACCGCTGGAAGCCACTACGGAATATACAGAATTCATAAAACGCCATACTTGCTGAAGACCGGCCAGTTCAATTCAGATCAGCTTCTGCATGGCCACTGATCCGGAAGCAGACGCGCAGTGCAGGCCAGGTTTCGTGGCCTCACAATTCCGGAAATGGCCGTTAAGATGTGGTCGATCTACATACCCCTTGTGCAGTTGGTATTTGGAAAATAGAAAGACCTATGGGATACACACTAAGGGTTTAACTAGCGGGGTGGCTTCAGGGTCTTAGCAGAAATTTGTTGCAGCGTTTGCATTGTAGGATGAGGGAGAATAGACTGTACAGGCAGCCTTGATGATCACGGAAATAGCTTTGTGAGGCTTTCAAATGCTTCGATCAATCAGGCCTACAGGTTCTTCCATTAGACGAATTAAAAGCTGCTTCCTGCTCAGTTACCCAGGCAAAGTGAACGTCACTTGGCTAAAGCCACTGAAGAGAATGTACTTTTCTCGGAAAATGCCGAGTGAGTATATGATGCGAGCTAAAAACTATCAAATTTCTTCCAGTATGCCATCTGTAGGATGAAAGAATTGATGCATCGGAACTATCATCACCGGATCCTGCGGACGCTCCTGCGCAGATATTGAAAATACTACATTCCCTGATGAGATAGAGAGTGGCAGCCGACGCAGCAGCCAATCCACTAAGGAAAGCCGGGACTGTCGCTTGTCTTTGCACTCCTCTTTGAGACCTATTCCGGGTCAAAGTGCCCAGCCAAGCAAGTGACGTTGCACACAGAGTTGAGGCTTACAGTGGAAGCATTCTCGGGAAACATAGAAGCATGAGATCAGAGTCAACGACCTGTGGGACTCAGTCTCGACAGAATAACGTGAAATAGTAAGCTCTTAGCAACGCCACCAGCCATCAGTGGCGTGAAATCTGGGAAGATGAAACGTTTATAACCACAGAAGTTTCTCTGCTTCGCGGGTTTTGCTCTAGTTACCGGCCAAGTCCCCATAGAAACTGGGAAACGCCAGTTCCGTGAGCCTCGGCTGCCGAGCTAGCTCTCAGCCTTCGGCTACTGTCTTCTAAGTAGGAGCCTTTTATGTCCAGCCAGTGATAGAACGCTAATTAAAACTTGGGGACGAGCTCTCGGCAAAGTTTTCAACTCGAGATCCCCGTACTCAGCTTCTCCTTGCTGCCTAGAGGCAGTCACGGCATAGATGCCGGCAGAACTTAGCTTTTAAAGAAGGCAGAATGAACTCGACTAATCCTTTGCGCATATTTCTTGTCTCTATGCTAAAAAAAGGCGCGTGTGGAAGAGTCCCCACATGGTCTTTCGGCGACAAGATCCCAGGCTGTCTTTGCCACAGCTTGCTGGCGCTCCAAACTTGCTGGCCTCCAAAGGACTTAAGAACACTATTCCCCAGACCAACTGAGGACTTTATAATTCTCAAAATCTAGTTTTCTGCTCATTACTCGTTTGTTTCTTCTCTAGTCAGCCACGCAGGCAGCCGCAGCTAGGAGCCTCAGTCGGCGGTCATAGGGTGTTTGCGAGTAACGACGAGCCACCATGTGGGGAGCGTTGGAGCGCGGCCAGCGCCTCGTTGATTAAAAAGAAGTAATTTAGTGGCGAGAGCAGCGGAGAGGAGCAATAAATAGAAGCAACAACAGCTTCTCCTCAGCGTATGCTTGGGAAACCCCGCAAGGCACAAAGTACCTGCGCACAGCTTAGTCTACACACTGTGCATTTTTCGAAAACAGCAGCTACAAGGCCACAGTTCACCACTCAGGCCTCTTGAGACATTCTTGCTGCTTCAACAGCACCTCATTAGAATCCTGTATGTCCCCATGCACGTGAGATGGGCCAGCCACCAAGATCTACGACATTAGCACTCTGGCTGCATGCAGCGCCGTACCTACTGTATCCATACTTATACAATTTTAGATATGTATATGTATTTCTATCTAATAGTATATCCTGTGTTTCCGCTCGTAGATATTTATGTGCTGCGTCTGCCGTGGAGGCAGGCCATGACACTCCTCTTCAAATCCAATCTGCATCTGAGCTCGAAATAAACTACACTTGTTCCAAACTACGCAGATGCAGCAGTAGAACAGATCTTGGATGGAAGAATACAAGAGTTCGCTTTCAGCCAAGAAAAGAAGCTAACAATCAAACTTGGCCATCTGTCGAGCCTTTATTCCCGCTGCATTTTTGTTGCTGCCGAAATTTCCTCTGCTTTTCTTCTTCTGATTCTTTGCCTGCACCCTTTTGCGCACCGCATCCCGTGTGTGCCTGTACAGAAAAAAAGGCAGGTAGGAGTTAGGAAATGTAACATGAATCCCACTAGTCTGCGACATGCTGTTGCAGAAGTCTGTAAAACAGCGTGAAGCTGCACAAAACCAAAAGACAGACCCTAAATTCAACCACATTTATGGCATTAAAGTGCTTCTACGAAACATGCAGAGAAAGAAACAAACAAAAGGCTTTACCTTCTGGCTGTGGGGCGCCAGCAGTGAATCAGCGCCTGCTGCTCCTCGAGAGGCAAGGGCTGGGTGGCGCCTTCCTTGGCCTCTTCTGCGCAAAAATGACACAACTGAACTACTGCTGCTGCAGCGTAGACGAAGCCAGCAGTGAACTCAAATCGAAATAAATGAAAAACAAGATGAGTTGGCTGGGCTATTGTTCTATGCCTGCACAAATAGCTGTTCATGCACAGCCAACAGCCGCCGTGACATGGAATCTTCAACGGCTGCCACTGCACTTTCACGGACTTTGTTTCCTCTGCTGCATTTCCTCATTGTGCTGCTGGCCTTCTGCTGCTCTGCATGCAACAGTGGCCAAAGAGGTGCCCTTTGGGACTCACCGCTGTCGGAGGCACTGCTTGCTTCTTGGCTGTCGTCATCCGACTTGCATTCCCGTTTTGGCGATTCATCTTGCGCATCTGAAGCCGACTGTTCCTCCTCTTCTTGTGCTTCTTCCTCTGAGCTTTCCTGAGGTTTCGCAGAGCCGCAGCTTTCCTCTTCGTCTTCTATCTCAGACTCATCCGAGCAACTCGACTCCGTTTCATTGTTTCGCCGTGCAGCCAGCGCGCCTTCCAGCAGTTCCGCCTGGTGCTCGTCCAGGTCGTCAGAAACGGAAATCAAATTGCAAGAAGACTCTTCTCCATCAGCAGCGCCTTCTGCATGGCCATCATCCAGAGTTCCATCTGCAGCAGAGGAAAGCTTCGTTCCGCGTCCTTCAACAACTTCATCGAACCTGAACCAGACAAAACAAAGACAAAAAACAGCACGAAAAATGGCCTCTACATACATTCTGTAAACAGAACAAAACAATCAAAGCCCCAAATTACTAGCCCGTAACTGCTGCTGCGGGTGTTTGTTTCGCGTACTTCGGCACTGTGGTAACTTCGACGAGAAACTTCCGTTCAAATAGACGTTTTATGCACTGAACATCGCGGTCAAAGTATGCTGCTGCATTTCGATGGTAAATTGAAACCATTTGAGGAAGATCTGTGCCATGGCGCACGGAAGAACAGAAAAGCTGAATTCGCGTGGATCCCGCAAATGCCGCAATTCAAAAGCGCCAAGGGCTTGAAAACACTCGTAAAGATGCAATTTTCGAGCGCGAGAAACCCCCGGCGTCTCACCTATCATTGTTATGTGTCCCGCGTCGTCAATCATTAGGTTGAATTCGTTGAAATCCCCGTGGATCAGCCCGCAGTGCGCAAGCCTCACGATGAGCTTCATCAGCTTCTCGAGCACCGCAAAAGGGTCTTTAAGTTCTCTCACCTGACGCGCATCAGCAGCAAAAACGGCACAAACCAACGGAGAAAAAGCGAAAGTAAAAACAGAGCCAGCAGCAGCTCCCGAAGTGCCGGCCGGCTGCTGCAGGCTGCTCGGGGGAAGGAAGAAGCCGGCGAAATGGACTTTTTCGCAAACTGAGAAGCTGAAATATCTGTTTTTTGCATCGAGGAGAAGCGAGAAGCACCTGAGTGAGGGGGATCGCGTCGATGTACTCCATCAGCACGGCATGCCTGTTCATGTCCACTGGCTCTGGGACCGGAAAGCCGTGGGAGTGCAGCGCCTTCAGATATGCGAATTCGCGCACTGCAGCTAAGTGCGCGAGGTAGTGCCAGCTGCAGTGCATGCGGTGCTGCATGTAGTCCCGGTTCTTCTTGATGGAGCGGAAAGAAATGCGACCTGCCACAGCCACGCCGGCGCAGCAGCAGCAGCCAGAGCCTAGTTGCTGTTTCCTGGCTGCTGCATGCATTCAAGTTTGCTGCCAATTGTTGAATTCGCGCGCTGCGTGCCGTTCATTCCTTTGCAGGAACTCACCGAGCCGGTGCAGCTTCAAGATCAGCACTTTCCCGTCTGTGCCTTCGCAAACGTGAATGTCGGACTCTTTGCCGACGCCAACTCTGACGCCAACTCCTTTGATGAGGCCTCTCTTGACGAAGGCGTTGAGAGCCAGGTAATCGTAGCCTAAATAGGTCATTTTGTACCCGTCGTACGACTTGGAGCTGTGGAAAACAAGCTTGTTTTTGAGCAAAGTGCTCAGGATCTGGCGAATGGAGTGTCTTCGAAGACCTGCAATTTGCTCAATCAGCGCCGAGGACACAAATTCGTGGTTCTTCATTCCCATTTCCACGGCGGTCAGCACCCGAAACTCCCCCTTGGTCATGTACCGCAGCACGTCCGCCTGAAGCCTCATCTTCAGAGAGCATTTGGGTTTGCTTTCAGCCACTACTTTCGCGTCTTCCTGCTGTTTATTGCCTTTATAAAGCAGCACAACACCTCAAAACGGGCGCCGCGGCTCTAGGGATTGCGGGAGAGCCTCTTTTGCAATGGAACTCGGAGCGGCATGCGGCGCAAGGGAATAACTGGGCGAACGGGGAGCGCAAAGGATCGTCTTCTGCTCCCCGCACATATTTATGAAACGAAAAAAAACCTAAATTTCAGTTTAAAAAGCAACAGAGGTTCCAGAGGAGCTCCGTACAGCCCTCTGGGAACCCCACAGCTCCACTAGAACGTGGCGGATCGAAGCAGCAGGTAACACCACATCCATGGGGTCTAAGTTCGGAGAACTTGAGAATATCAACTATTTCTTGTTTGAACATGGCCTTTTAAAGTAGTTTTTCGCTGTTTCCCGTCGCAGCCGACAGAGCCTTGGGGCCCCAAGACGCGAGGAATGTCTGGCTCGCCGCTAGATCTTCCGGCCTGCGCTGTGTGTGTGCCGCTGGGGTTCTCGCAGCTCCTCTTTTCATATTTATTTTTCCCTTTCTTTATTGCATTTATCAATTGAATATATCCGGGCAGCCGCGGCTTTGCTTCTCCCGGGCGCTGCTGGCCGTCGGCAGCTGGGCGGCCGCAGCGCAGCAAAAGATGCACCGGGGGAAAGCTGCTGCGGCGCTGCTGCTGTGAGAGCCCCTGCGGCTGGGCAGCAGCTGCGTCTCTGAGGCCCCCCAGCAGCAGCGCAGCAGCGCAGCACAGCAGCGCAGCAGCACAGCAGCACAGCAGCGCAGCACAGCAGCAGCAATGGACTTCGAGTCTTCAGACAGCAGCTCCACCCCCTGCAACCCGCAGCTGCTGGAAGCCGCCCCAGCGCCTGCAGGGCCAGGCTCTCTGCGCCGGCGGCGGCGCCCGCAGTCCCGCCGCGGCTCCGCCGCGAAAGCAGAAGCAGCAGCAGCAGCAGCAGCAGCAGCAGCAGCAGCAGCAGCAGCAGTTCAGCAGCAGCAGCAGCTTCCCGCGCAGCCAGCAGCAGCGACAAGTGTGAAAAAGGAGCAAAAGGAAAGCCCCTGCTTTTGCTCCCCAGCGTCTTCTGAACTTTCAGAAGTACCCAAATGGCAAGACCCCCAAGGGCAGCCCAGCCAACCCAGCAGCAGCAGCAGCAGCAGCAGGGGCCCCCCTGCTGCTGCTGCTGCTGCTGCTGCTTCGGTGTCTCGCCAGGCGCCCCCTTCTCTTTCCACCCGCTTGCCGGGTTCCTTCAAGACCCCGGGGGGGCCCCCTGGAGGGGCCCCCCCACGAGAGGAAGGGGCCCCCCGAGCCGCAGGGGGCCCCCCAGGAGAGGGGGCCCCCCGCGGAGGGGGGGCCCCCGGTCGGGGGCCCCCTGAGGGCAGCAGCAGCAGACTTGGAGGGTTTCCGAGGTCGGTGAGGGAGGGCGTGAGTTTGCTGCAGCAGGTGCAGCAGCAGGCGCAGCAGGTGCAGCAGCAGCTGCTGCAGCAGCTGCAGCGGCAGGTGCAGCAGCAAATCGCGGGGGCCTCCTCCGCCTGCGCCTCGGGGGCCTCTGCTTTGCTGCTAGCAGCAAAGTACACTTGTGCTGCTGGCTGTGCTGCTGCTGTGGGGCTCGGGTGTATGTCCACCTGCTTCGCTTTTGCTGCAGCAGGAAGTTATTATCTTTTGTCTTCTTATTCCACTCCTCCTCCACTTCAGGAGTTTCCAGTTTATTTCGACTATTACCCTAAAGTTGCATTGGCCCTTACTTCCCTCCACCGGGGCCCCCCGGGGCCCCCGGGGGCCCCCCCGGGGGCCCCCTGGGGGGCCCCCTGGGGGGCCCCCGAGGGGGCCCCCGCAGGGGCCCCCCCTGCGGACTGGGGGGCCCCCCACTCGCTGCTGGGGGGGGCCCCGGGAGAGGCCCAGGGGCCCCACGGGTGCAGCTGCGCGCCGTTTGCAGCAGCTGGGGCTGCCACAGACTTTGCTGCTGCTCCCGCTGCTGCTGCTGCTGCTGCTGGGGGCCCCGCGCCGCGGGCGCCCGGGGGGCCCCCCTGGGGGCCCCCCTCGGGGGCCCCCGCGGCATGGGGCCTCTCAGCCTTGGAAGAGCCCCTGGCCGTCGCAACTGTACCCTTCAGCAACAGGTCTTGGGAGCTGCTGCCAGCAGATGAGTTCATGTTTGCTGCTCCTCTTCTTTCCATTTCTTCCCACTGGCCTCACCAGCACCGCCTCTACCCGCAGCAGCAGCAGCAGCAGCAGCAGCAGCAGCAGCAGGAAGAGGAGGGCGCGAAGCTGCCTGGCTTCGCTGCGGACCTGATACTGACTCTGGCGCTGCAGGACAGCTGCAGCAGCAGCAGCAGCAGCAGGGGGCCCCCTGCTGCTGCTGCTGCAGTGATGGTGTCTTTGCTGCTGTTCTCGCGAGAGGGCCCCCTGGTGGCGCGCAGCAGCAGGGCCTTGCCTGCTGCTGCTGCCTGCGGGCCCCCCTGGGCCTCGCTGCTGCAGCTGCTGCTGGGGGGGGGCCCCCAAAAGACCCAAATCCTTATGATGGAGCAGCTGGGGGCCCCCCTGCTGCTGCAGCTGAAGTTCGCGAGGGTTTATCTGTACCCTCCTGTGGCTGTTTCCCAAGCAGTGCTGCAGGTGCTGCCGAGGCCCCGGGGCCTCCGCCGATTTGCAATTCAGCATCCCTTTTTGTCGCTGCTGCTGCTCACGCTGCTGCTGCTGCTGCTTGCTGCTGCTGCTGCTCTCCTCTGCTGCGCCTGCTGCTGCTGCGGCTACTTGCTCTTCCTAGTCAACCAAAACGCCCCACAGCCGCCCCTCCTGCAAACCCAGCAGCAGCACCAGAGGCCCCCACTGGGGGCCCCCAAAGGGGGGCCTCCTTGGGGGGCCCCCACAGGGGGACCCCCCCAGCGTGGGGGCCCCCAGTGTGGGGGCCCCCTTGCACAGACCATGGAAAGCAGTCTCACTTGAAATAGGCTGGGGGGCCCTCCTAAGGGCCTCGGGGCCCCTCAATAGTTCCAGGGGCCCCCAGGCCACTCCTGGGGGCCCCTAAGAAGCTCCTGGAGGCCCCCAACGACTCCCGGGGGCCCCCCAGGGGGCCCCTAGGAGTCGTTGGGGGACTTCTGGGGGCCCCCCCAGGGGGCCCCTGCGGGGCTGCGCGAGTCTCCAAGAGTTTCCTCAGGGCCCCTGGGGGGCCCCCAAGAAAATTGGGGGCCCTCAGGGGCCCCCAGGGGCCCCCTAGGGACCCGTGGGGGGCCCCCAGGGGCCCCAGAAGAGGACTTTGGGGGTAACTGCAGAGTTGCTTGTTTTTTGTTGGATTCCTCTGAGCACTGCGTCTCTTCTTCCTTTATAATTGCCATTACTACCATTCCAATTATCCCTAAGTGCTGCCGTTATTACTACTTTGCTGCTGCTGCTGCTGCTGCTGCTGCTGCTATTGCCACTGCCACTATTATTATCATTACAAGTCCTCCAAAGGAAAACCCTAAAGACTGTTTTGCTGCATCTTTTCCCCAAAGGGCTTTTAGCCGCAAAGCTTTAAAGCTGTTTAACTTAAATTAAGTTCCTCAGGGGCCCCTTGAGACGGGCGCGGGGGCCCCTGGGGGCCCCTGGGGGCCCCCCTGAGACTGTCAAGGGGGCCCCACGGGCCCTGGGGGCCCCCCTGAAGCAGCCGCGAGGCCCTAGGAGCTCCAGGGGCCCCATATGCCCCCCTTGAGACTGCACAATGGGCCCCGGGGGCCCCCATGACACACCCAGAGAGACCCTGGGGGCCCCCAGGGGCCCCTAGGGGCCCCCGAAGGGTCCCAGGGGCCCCCGGGGGCCCCTGGGGGCCCCCAGGGGCCCCTTGAGACTGCCTGGGGGCCCCTCTGGCCCCCCCCGCACTCCCTCTTTATGCACTAAAGCCAAGCGACTTGGAATCCAGCCAGCTGGAGGTCGCCCTCAGCTGTTCAGCAAGGGTTTAGGGTTTACGACAGCCTCTCAGGCTAGGGTTTAGGGTTTAGGGTTTAGAGTCTAGCCAACCCGGATCTCGGGATCATTCACATAGTCGTGGTAAACCAACTTCGCATCCTCAGGAACGCCTGCAGCAACCACAAACCCTAAACCCTAGCCCCAAACCCTAAACCCTAGCCACCAAACCCAAGCCCCAAAACCCTAAACCCTAGCCTGTAAACCCTAAGCCTTGGCTGTTCACCTCCCGAGCACCACCACCACCCCCTGTGGTCAGCGAGCGCCCCATTCAAGCCCGCAAGCTTTCCTCCAAACCCTAAACCCTAAACCCTAAACCCTAAACCCTCGTCCCAGGCTGCTTGCCTTTTCTTGTGAAGTATTTAAACGCTCTCTGATAAATTCGGGTTTTCTTCAACTCCTCAAACGACAACTTCTCGTTCGTCAAGTCTTCGCTGTCTGTACACCCCAAAGCAGCAGCAAAATGCAGCAGCAGCTGCAGCAGCAGCAGCAACAGCAGCAGCAGCAGCGGCTGCTGCTGCTGCTGCATGTACAAGTGAGACAAAAAGGCAGCAGAAGAGCAGCGCAGCAAACCTAAGCGCTGCAGCAGCAAAGCAGCCAAGCAGCAGCAGCAAACGGCAAGTGGCCGAAGCAGCAGCCAAATGAAAAATGAATTTAAAATGAATTAAAAATGAATTTAAATTAATTTTAAATTAACTTTAAATTAATTTTAAATTAATTAAAACACTTATTCACCTCTAAATGCGTAAACCCGCACCAGCTTCCCCCGGCGACACTCAAATAAACAAATTTGATTTTTCCCCGACTTGACTTCCTCGAAGTCCAGGCAGAAGGAGTGCTCCTGCGGCACGCCAAACCCTAAACCCTAAACCCTAAACCCTAAACCCTAAACCCTTACATGTAAACCCTGGAGCTGGCAGGCAGACGAACACTCAATAGCCCGCAGTCCGCCGCCTCCGTCTGGGATCTTCAAAGTACTCAGAAGGGTTTTGGGTCCGCGAGGGTTTAGGGTTTAAAAGGGTTTAGGGTTTAAAAGGGTTTAGGGTTTACAAGGGTTTAGGGTTTACAAGGGTTTAGGGTTTACAAGGGTTTAGGGTTTAGACTCACTTTGTTCTCCTCCGCTATGAGGCGCTTGGTGACGCGGACTGAGCTGTGCGAGTCCAGTAAGCTGTAGAAAACAAACCCAAACCCTAAACCCTAAACCCTAAACCCTAAACCCTTCTCTGCGCACCAATGCCTAGTCGCCTCTAGAGCTGTAAACCCAAACCCTAAACCCTAAACCCTAAACCCTCCTTACCTGTTAACGAATTCCTCTCTGTTCGCTGGGGCGCCCTGCCGGTCTTCAGAGTAAAAGTCCTGCGGAGGCCAACAAACCCTAAACCCTAAACCCTCATCCCCGCGCCCTTCCGCAAAACAACGCGCTCTCCCACTTAACCCTAAACCCTAAACCCTAAACTCTAAACCCTAAACCCTAAACCTACTTTGGAGCAGAGCCAGCTCAAAAACACTTTTCTGTTTTCCTCCCGCTTTCTCGGAGGCATCTGGCGGGCCTCGATGAGCCTGATGCCAAAAACCCTAAACCCTAAACCCTAAACCCTAAACCCTAAACCCTAAACCCCAGAGTATGCCGTCCTTGGAGGCAGCAAAACCCTAAAGTAGTGTTTACCGTTTCGAGGTCCCCTCCAGCGCCCCAACGTCTTAAGCGCGGGGCCCCTGCGGCCCGCGGAGAGTCGCAAACCCCAAACCCTAAACCCTAAACCCTAAACCCTAAACCCTAAGCAGCGGCCAGACCTGTCGGCGAGCATGCTGGCGGTGGCGCCTTCGTCTTGCTGCCTCGCGCTGCTGCTGCTGCTGCTTCTTCTCTCTCTGCTTCTGCTTCTGCTTCTGTGTCTTTGTCTTTCTCTGTCTCTGTTTCTTTCTCCATTTCTTTCTCCATTTCTTTCACTTCTTTCATTTCTTTCACTTCTTTCACTTCTTTCATTTCTTTCATTTCTTTCATATCTTTCTCTGCTTCTCCTCGCTGGGGACCTCCCGTGCATCCACTTCCCGAGGGGCCCCCCCTGCTGGGGGCCCCCCCGCAGCGGGGGCCCCCCCGGGGGCCCCCGGGGCCCCGTTCAGCGCCCGGGGAGGGGGGCCCCCCGACGCGGGAGAGGGGCCCGGGGAAGCAGCAGCTGCTGCTGCTGCTGCTGCGGGAGCTGCAACGACGGGGAAGGGAGCTGCAGCAGCAGCAGCAGCAGCAGCACCTGCTGCTGCTGCTGCTGCTGGCGACGCAGCCTGGCCTGCTTGGGGGCCCCTCGTCATCCACGCAGGAAGCACCATGTGCCTCCCGCGGCCGGCGGGCGGGCCGTGCATCTTCAAACCCTAAACCCTAAACCCTAAACCCTAAACCCTGAACCCTGAACCCCGCCGCGCCCCTGGAGCTCTTCTGGACGAAGCCACTGCTTTCGCAGAGTCGAAATGCGTGTCAAGCGCTCGTCCTGAGCAGTAGAGTGCACAAACCCTAAACCCTAAACCCTAAACCCTAAACCCTAGCGCCGCCAGACCCCACTCGGTGCACGCGACGCGAGTCGGCCCCGCGAAGATGAAGACAAGCTGCGCCCTAAACCCTAAACCCTAAACCCCAAACACCGGCGTCTCATTGTTGGAGGCTCAACGGCCAGTCTCCTCGGGTCAAGCGAGGGTTTAGGGTTTAGGGTTTAGGGTTTAGCGCGTCCGCGGGCGCTGCTGCCTACCTGGTGCTGCAACGCAGAAATGGGGGGCCCCTTGTTCGCTTCAGAAGGGCTGAGAGCAGCATCTCCCCCTCTTTAAACGATATCAAGTTAAAGGCGAGCAGCAGCAGCAGCAGCAGCAGCAGACGCAGCAGCAGCAGCAGCAGCAGCAGACGCAGCAGCAGAGTCGATGGGGCCTGCTGAGGGTTTGTAGCAGCAGCCTGGGCCTCTCTAGCAGCGCCCGCGGTGCAAAGGCACCAAACCCTAAACCCTAATCCAAACCCTAAATTCACAATTTCGTTTTCTAAACCCTAAAAGGCAAAAAGGGTTTCAAAGCTGCTTGAATTATCTAGCAGAGATCGGCGCAGCGCGGGCAGCTCTGTGTGAGCTGAGAAGCAGCAGCAGCAGCAGCAGCAGCGGCTGCAGCAGCAGCAGCAGCAGCAGCGGCGGCCACTACATGCATCGGCGAGGGCTTTGGCTTGAGAAGGTGCGTCTTTATGTTTGTAAATTAGGGTTGAGTGGCAGCAAGAAAGGTTTTTGCAAACCCTAAACCCCAAACCCTAGCAGCAGCAAAAGTAGTCCTGGAGAAGCAGCAGCACCTCGGACTCGCCTGGGCGGCCGCCGTTGGACTCCGCGCCGCCGGCAGTTTCAGCCGCGAGGGTTTAGGGTTTAGGGTTTAGGGTTTAGGGTTTGCATTGTTCGCTTTCTCGCGCCTGTCTATTCGTCCCGGGGCCCCCGCCGAACACCGCGCGCGCCACCACCACCCCACGCAAACCCTAAATTAGGGTTTCCGCGCGCACTGGCAGGGGCCCCCGCCCCCCACCACCATGACGGATCCCTCCTACGCCTCAGCAATAGGGGCCTACCCCCCCTACTCCGCGTACCCTTATGCTGCAGCAGGGGCCCCCCAGCCTGCAGCAGCAGCAGCAGCAGCAGCAGCAGCACCTGAGTATCAATGGGGGGCCTGGGGGGCCCCTGCGGCGCGCCCCAGCCCCAGCACGCTGGATCCCGGTAAGTAGCGCGTTCGACTAGGGTTTAGGGTTTAGGGTTTGGGGTTTGGGGCCGGCGCTGCGGCGGGCGTCTGCGGCGCGGGGCGCCGCAGCCGCCCAGGCCTAGGGTTTAGGGTTTAGGGTTTAGGGTTTAGGGTTTGGGTGGTGGGGCCTCCGGGCTTGCGCTGGGCCCCCCGCGGGGCCGGACCTGCTGCTGCGAGGGCGGGGCCCGCCGGCGCGCGGGCCCCGCCCCCCAAACCCTAAACCCTAAACCCTAAACCCTCGTTTTGCGTGCGGCAGAAACAGAACCCGACGCGCTGCAAAGCCGCTGCCTCTTCTTCGGAAGACTTTCTCCAGAAGTAAAAGAAGATGTTTTGAGAAGCATTTGCCAGCAGTTCGGAGACATCCGCAAGATCACGACTTACCCCGAGAAGCACATGGCCTTCGTCGAATTCGTGAGGGTTTAGGGTTTAGGGTTTAGGGTTTAGGGTTTAGGGTTTGGGGTTTGGGGGGTGGGGAGGCTGCTGCCGCTCCGCCGACGGCCTCGCGCGCTGCTCGCCCGCGGCCCCGCCGCGGGGGGCTGGCCTGCAGGCTGGGGGCTTGGGTGAGGGTTTAGGGTTTAGGGTTTAGGGTTTAGGGTTTAGGGTTTGGGCTGTCTGGGCGAGTGCGCGGCCTTTGGTCGGTTGTCTAGGATTTAGCGCTTGCTGCGGCTAGCCAGCAGCCGCAGTGCGAGCCTAGGGTTTAGGTTCTAGGGTTTAGGGTTTAGGGTTTAGGGTTTAGGGCTGTGCGTCTTGCGCAGCGGGAGCCGCTTTGCGCTTGCGCTGGCGCTGGCCCTCGAAACCCTAAACCCTAAACCCTAAGCATGTGCACATAGGGAGCTGCAGCGCGTGTCTTTTCGCCGCGTTGGCCCCTAAACCCTAAACCCTAAACCCTAAACCCTAAACCCTAAACCCTTGTGTTTGTGCTGCAGTATGATATAAGGCATGCAGAAGCAGCTCGCGAGGCTTTGAGGGCTACAGAAATTGCGGGCAAGAAAGCGGAGGTTCAGTACAGCGCCATTAAGAGGCCGGACAAGGACAGCAACATGGTGCGTAAACCCTAAACCCTAAACCCTAAACCCTAAACCCTAAACCCTCGCGCGCGCAGGTGCGAAGGCCCGCACGAGGGTTTGGGGTTTGCGGGGCGGCGCTTCCGGGGCCCTCCCCGCCTCTGCGTTTCTTGCTGATGATGTCTGAGGGTTTAGGGTTTAGGGTTTAGGGTTTAGGGTTTGGGCTGTGGGGCTGGGGCCCCGTGCCCTCACTGGCAGCGAAGCCTCGCGGTTGAGGCTAAGAGCTTGGCTGCAGTTCCGCGGGCCTAGGGTTTACGTCCAGGGCCAGGGTTAGGGTTTAGGGTTTAGGGTTTAGGGTTTAGGGTTTAGGGTTTAGGGTTTGCGCAGGGAACTCTCTACATCCGGCCCACCAACGGAATGTCCTCCTCCACCACTTTAAGTGACCCCAACAGTCTGGACGCTTACAGGCGTTTATTTTCTTCTTATGGGGACATCAAAAAGGTTTCCGTCAACAGAAAAAGAGACTCGTAAACCCTAAACCCTAAACCCTAAACCCTAAACCCTAAGCTCTAGCCTCCAAGCCCTCGGCCGCGCCCTCGCCGTGTCGCGCGGCTCCTCGGAGACGCGGCTGCAAATTCGAAACCCTAATTCGTTGTTTCCAGCCCATACATACACCTGCTGCAGCCCTAAACCCTAAACCCCAAACCCTAAACCCTAAACCCTAAACCCTAATGAAGCTGGCGGCCCGCGTAAAGGCGGCTGTTGAAGCCCTGCACCCTTTTATGCCTGGCTGCTGCACCGCACCACCCGTGGCGCAAACGGGGGACTGAGGGTTTAGGGTTTAGGGTTTAGGGTTTAGGGTTTAGGGTTTGTTATTCAGAGAAAAGTTCGTTGAATATCATGATGTGAGAGACGCGGCCAAAGCCCTGGAAGCCCTCAACGGCCACAACTTCAACGGGGTCACTTTGCAAATTTGTTTTGCCCAAAATGCTTCGAGAACTTTGTAAACCCTAAACCCTAAACCCTAAACCCTTGCTAAACCCTAAACCCTAGACCCTCGCTCAAACCCTAGCCTGCAGTAGTGGCTTGTTTTGCCCCGAGTGCCCCGAGAAACTTGTAAACCCTAAAACTTTATCTAAACCCTAAACCCTAATCCAAACCTCAAGCGCTAAACCCTTGTCCAAACCCCAAACCCTAAACCCTAATCTGCGATTGGTAACTTTGCCTTGGACTTCAGGGTCACACTGCAGGTTTGCTTGTCCAGAAAGCCTCAGAGGATTTCATAAACCCTTAACCCTAAACCCTAGGCCCTAGCCCAAACCGTAGACCCTATCCCAAACCCTAAACCCTACCTAAAGCCTAATCAAACCCTAAACCCTTCGGCAACGGGCCAATCGAGGGCGCTGCTGGGATGGCCTTCGAACGTGCGGTTACTGTTGAGCCAGCGGCATCGCGGGTTTAGGGTTTAGGGTTTAGGGTTTAGGGTTTAGGGTTTAGGGTTTGTGCGCAGCAACCGCGAGCCTGCCTCTCGCAGAACAGGAGCCTCACGCACCCCCGAGGGTTTAGGGTATGGGCCTTACAGGGGCACTCCCTATAGCGCCCCCTCGATGCGGTTTGTGTCTCCTTATTCCTCTCCAGTAAGCGAGGGTTTAGGGTTTAGGGTTTAGGGTTTTGCCTGTCCTGTCTCTTCTGGCTGGCTCTTCTGAATCTTTGTCTCAGTATCTTTTCTTGTTTCTCTGTCCGTATGTAAACCATCACACTGTCCCTTTTGAGCCAGCGCTTGGCTGCAGCTCGTTCTGAGGGTTTAGGGTTTAGGGTTTAGGGTTTAGGGTTTAGGGTTTGGGGTTGCGTGTTGCGCAAGTATGTGGCGTGTGCTGTTGGCTCAAAGAACAGCAGCAAGCAGCAAGTGGGGCAGCAAATAAGAATAAACACTGATTGGTTGTTTCGAATTCGTTTCCTCATTATTAGGGTTTAGGGTTTGAGTGGTTTATTTACTTAGGGCCGCCTCTGCTGTGCTGCACCGCAGCCCGTCCTGGGGCCCCCCCCCTCCTACGGGCCTTACGGGGTTTGCCCAGTGCAGCCGGGGGGCCCCTCTTACGGGGCCACTCCGTATGGGTACCAGCAGCAGCAGCAGCCGGCGCCTCCAGCAGCAGCAGCAGCAGCAGCAGCAGCAGCAGGGGCCTCGTACAACCCCAGCTGGCCGCCCTCAGCAGTGCCCCCTGCTGCTGCTCCCGTGGGGGGCCCCCCCTACGGGGGGCCCCCCAGGGGCCCCATGCCCATGCCCGTCTACGGGGGGCCCCCCGCAGGGGTACCCGCCCCCTGGAGGCCCCCCCAGTAGGGCAGCAGCAGCAGCAGCAGCAGCAGAGGGAGACGCAAAAGAAATTTAATGGCAGCAAACTTTATTGCTTAGGATAGACGCCGAGAGCAGAGCTGTAGATACACCCCACGCAGGACTCGCCTCTATAGTTTCAAGGGGCCCATTCACTACCAAAAGGAGGTTCAGCTGCTGCAGCAGCAGCAGCAGCAGCAGCAGCAGCAGCAGCAGCGGCGGCGGCGGCAGCAGCAGCAGCAGCAGCAGCGGCAAACGGCTTTCTCCTTGTCTAGCGTTTTCATTTGTCCTTCCATTCTATCTTCGGCCCCACAGACTGCGTAGCAAGGGAGGCCGCCACTGGGGGCCCCCCGGGGCCCCCCGGGGGCCCCCGGGGGCCCCCGGGGGGCCCCCTGAGGGGCCCCCCGAGGGCTCTGTGAGAGGGGCCAGGGAGGTGGGGCCCCCAGGGTCTGGAAGAGGCAGAAGGCGTAGCGTAGCGACAACAACTGCAGCAGCAGCGGCAGCAACAGGGCAGCAGCTGCAGCAGCAGCAGCAGCAGCAGCTGCAGCAGCAGCTGCAGCAGCAGGGAGGGTTGCAGTGGAGTGGCCAGGAGCTCCTTAGCAAGGGGCCCTGGCTGCGGTTTTAGCTGCCGTTTATTGCGGTGTACGTACAGCCCAACAACAACTGCTCACCTTTGTCCCCCTATATGTACCACGTTTTGTCGCTAGGGTTTAGGGTTTAGGGTTTAGGGTTTTGTTTGTTGCACTGGTTTTTAAGTAATTTAGAATCCAATTCATTAAAGTGAAAGTGCATACTTTTAATTCGCATTTCTTTCCACAGTCTTGTTTTGGGGTGTCTGTACACCTGAGCCGCGGGCCTGCGCCACCTCCCCCAAGGAGCGCTTGCCTCTAAATGGGCAAATAAATAAAACTGAATAAATAAATAAATAAATAAATAAAAATAATTAATAAAATAATAAATAAATAAATAAATAAATGCCAGATAGACCACTAAAATGCCGACATCTGGACAAGAGGCACATGCACTACGACGCGGATGGCGCAGGCGCCCCTATTTGTTTATTTCCGCCTTTTTAAATGAAGATAAAACTAAAATATAATTTAAAATATAAATAAAAATATAAATTTAAATTTAAAATTAAGTTTAAATGAGAAATAAGTATAAATATAGGGGCTTTTATTGGACCTCCAGCAAAGCCTTGCTGGCTTTTTAATTTCTTTCAGTTTTCACTAAGTTTTTAAAACTATTTTTTCATTTGTTTCTGCATCCATTCATTTGTCTTTAAAGCATTTGCATGCATAAATGCTGCATTTTTTACAATAATACACATATATATAATATATATACTACATATATACAATATATATACATTATATTACATATATTGTATATATATATATAATATATACAATATACGTATATATATGTATGTATATTTTATATATTACATATATACAATATATATAATGTATGTATATTGTATATATTATATATATACTATATATATAATACATTGTATATATAATATATACAATGTATATAATACATTGTATGTATATAATATATACAATATAGCACATATTTGTATATATTGTATATATACAATATATGTAGTACATTGTATGTATATAATATATACAATATAGTACATATTTGTATATAATATATATATACAATATAGTACACATTTGTATATATTATATATATATTTTTATAAACCTTTTATTCATTTGCATGCATGCAGATTGTCTCTGCTGATTTGTGAACACGCAGTGTATGTACACTACAGGTCCACTCCGTGACCACTAGGTGACCGTTAAATGTTCATTTTGCACATTTTAAATTTCTTTTTCTCATTTTGGAGTTAATTTTTTGGCCTTTAGGAGTTTGCAAATGTAGAGATCCCACAGGGCCCTCGTCGGGGCCTTTAGGGTCTTAGAATTGGGACTTTTGGACACTTGAAAGCAGCGTTTTCGGGAAATGTATTTTTCCGCAAAAGTTCAACTCCATTTGAAGTGAAAAGTGCATTTATTTGGACAAAATGCGACTCCACTTCAGAAATGCAACTAAGTCCAATTTAAAATACTTTTTATTTGCCAAAGAGGCGCCAAAGACACTCTCAGGCTTGAGCTGTACATACACCCCAAGTGGCGCGCCGCAGCGGGCGCCTGACTTGGGGTGTGTGTACAGCTCACCTGACTTGGGGTGTATGCACAGCTCACACGTGAAGTCCGGCTGAGCCCGCAAGCAAACAAATTCATTAATAATTCACTTATTCTCGATGATTATAAACTTGTCGATAATAAATTAATTATTAATGAATTAGAAATGAATTAGAAACGTAAAAACAAATTCTTAGATGCTCGTGCGCGGCTCTTCACGCGCAGGTGTATTTACAGACTTCTCTTTTTCTTTTTAATTCTTTTTTCTTTCAATTGCCGCCGTCGCTTGTCTTTATTGAAAGCATTTAACAAGACCTTTCTAATATTTACTTATTTGTATATCTATTTGCTTTTAATTGCAACGAAAGAAAACCCCGGAATAGTCCAAACAAGGGAGCCACAGGCCACAGCGCAGTGTACGTACACTAGGGATATTTTGCATTTTCGAGAATTTTTTCTCATTTTCAGAGGCCCTTCCTTCGCGCAGTGTACGTACACCCGAGAACACGCAAAAGTTCAGCTTTTAGGACTTTTAAATTCACAAATTTTGTGCCTTTTGGCTTCTTCGCGAGGTGTACGTACACCCGGTTCGCCAGGTGTACGTACACCCGGTGTGTCAGTTCGCCAGGTGTACGTACACCTGGAAATCCGCATGTTGCTGCAGTTCAACGTTCGCTTTTTGCGTAAATATAAAAGGACAAATTGCGTTGATATGAAATGACAAGAAAAGGACTTTAAAATGACTTTTTATTTGTCCAAAGTGCAAACGAATTTGCAAAGCCTCAACTGCTGTGCTGTCTGTACACCCCAAGTTCGCCTCCAGTGGACAGACACCCCAACAACTGTCCAGCTGACAACGGGCGCAGCTAGCCATCTAGCTAGTCACATAGCTAGCTAGCTAGCTAGCTAACTGGCCGTCAAGCCAGCCAGCTAGCTAGCTGACTAGCTATCTAGCTGGCTAGCTAGCTTGTCGCAGAGATGCTAAATGCTTCTGTGGCTGCCAGACCCCATGGAGTAACAAAGGAAGCAGCTGAGTCTAGCTGGCTGTGGCTAGCTGTTTGTGTGGCTAGCTACGGCTAGCTGCCCGTGGGGCTAGCTGTTCCTATCTGTGGCTAGCTGTGGCTAGCCACGGCTGGCTATGGCAAGTTGTGGCTAGCTGTAGCTAGCTCTAGCTGGCCGTAGCTAGCCACTAGTTATAGCTAGCTACGGCTAGCCATGGCCAGCCACTGACTGTAGCTAGCTATAGCTAGATATAACTAGCCACTAGCTGTAGCTAGCTATAGCTAGCCATAGCTAGCCACTGGATATAGCTAGCTACAGCTAGCTACAGCTGGCTACAGCTAGATACATCTAGCTACAGCTAGCTACAGCTAGCTACAGCTAGCTACAGCTAGCCACAGCTAGCCACAGCTAGCTACAGCTAGCTACAGCTAGCCAGCCTGGCCGGGCGCATTTGCATCAAGCATGAGCCCGAGACCAGCGAGGTGGCAGCTCTGAGCTTCGAGCGCTAAACCCTAAACCATAAAATGCGGATTCTTTAGACCTTAAACCCTAAACCCTAAACCCTAAACCCTACATCCCAAACAGTAAACCCTAAACCCTGCGTTAGTGTCAGCTGCTGCTGCACACCTGGAGTTGCACCGCCTCAAATCATAGTAGCAGAAGACGCTTTTAGCATTAAAGAAGGTGTAGGAGGGTTTAGGGTTTAGGGTTTAGGGTTTAGGGTTAAGGACTTGGGGCTTAGGGTTTAGGGTTTAGGGCTTAGGGTTTGGGGCTCGGTGTCTGGTCGGTGCCACCCACTAGCTGCTGCTGTGGGTCTGAAGTTTGCTGCTGCTTCTTCTCGAAGAAGTAAACCGGAAGCTAATAATTAATAATCTATAATGCCAAAAAACAGCAGCAGCAGCAGCAACAGCAGCAGCAGCAGCAGCAGCAGTAGCAGCAGCAGCAGCAGCAGCAGGTTGTCCCGTGAGGCCCCCAGGCGGGTCTGCGGTTCGTTTGATTCTTGAGCTCGCCGTCGAGTTCCCGGCGTTCGAATTAGGGATTTAGGGTTTAGGGTTTAGGGTTTAGGGTTTAGGGTTTAGGGTTTAGGGTTTTGGATTGCTGCAGCGGGAAACAAGCTGGCTGTTAACACACTTGGCAGACACGAGTCACCGAGTGACTCTCGTCTCTGCCTCAGCAGCAGCAGCAGCAGCAACCGCAGCAGCAGCAACAAAAGCAGCAATAACATTGGCAGCAGCAGCACTTGCAGCAGCAGCAGCAGCAGCAATTGCAGCAGCAGCAGCAGCAGCAGCAATAACAGCAGCAGCAGCAGTCACGGGTCGCCCAGTGTTGCCTGAGATTTGCGCTGCCTTGTCTGCAGCAGCTTCCAGCAGCACGAGCAGCAGCAGCAGCAGCAGCAGCAGCAGCAGCAACAGTGGCAGGCTCACAATCGGGCCACTAGCGGCAGCAGTTGCTGCAGGACCCAATCACCAAGACCAGCAGCAGCAACAGCAGCAGCAGCAGCAGCAGCAGCAACAGCAGCAGCAGCAGCAGCAGCAGCAAGAATGCTGGTGGAGTTTGCGTATTTCTTGTGGTGGCCGCTGCTGCTGCCGCTGCTGCTGCTGAACATTGTCTTCTTTTGCTGCAGCAGCCGCAGCAGCATCTGGCGTTCGCCCTGCTGGGCGAACGTGGAGAAGCCAAATATGCAGATCAAAGACAAGGCCTGCAGCAGCAGCAGCAGCAGCAGCAGCAGCAGCAGCAGCAGCAGCAGCAGCAGCAGCAGGAGCAGCAGCAGCGACACGGAGAAGGCTGCTGCTGCAGCAGGGGGTAAAGACACCTGCAGCAGCAGCAGCGACGCCTCTGGCCTCCGCCAACGCCACAAAGAGCCCGCAGAAGAAGAAGACAGCAGCAGCAGCAGCAGCAGCAGCAGCAGCAGCAGCAGCAGCAAAGAATGGAAGAGAGACAGGTCTCTTTTTTCTCGGGGCACTACTTACCTCAGCATGCGCATTGTCTCCTTTTTGCTGCCATCGATGTGGCTTGTTAATTCATTTCTGCTGCTGCAGCTGCTGCGGCGGCTGCTGCAGCTGCAGCAGCAGCAGCAGCAGCAGCAGCAGCAGCTGCAGTTCCGCTGCAGCGACCTGCTGCTCGGGCTGTACGGACTCTATGCAATTGCTTGCTGCTTCGCAGCAGAAGAGATAGGAGCACTTCTGCTGCCCTCACGCTGGGTAAACCCTAAACCCTAAACCCTAAACCCTAAACCCTAGGCCCTAAACCCTACACCCTCGGGCCCCACAGCTGCAGCGCTCCCTAGCTGGCCGCCCGCAGCAGCAGGAGACGGAGAGAGTCACTGCAGCAGCTCTAGCAGCAGCAGCAGCTGTTGCTGCTGCAGCTGCTGCAGCTGCTGCAGCAGTAGCTGCTGCAGCAGCAGCAGCAGTAGCTGCTTCGGCAGCAGCAGTAGCTGCTGCAGCTGTATCAGCAGCAGCTCCTGCACCGCGTATTCGCCGCCACTGCATCCGCCGCTGCTGCTGTGCTGTGGCTGCTGCTGCTGCTGCTGCTGTGGCTGCTGCTGCTGCTGTTGCTGCTGCTGCTGCTGCTGCTGCTGCTGCTGCAGGTCCGCAGCTGGGCTTTGTGGATCGAAGCAGCAGAATACTTTCCTGTGTCTGTCGTCACAGAGTCTCCCCAGGCTCATTACCCCGCAGACAAAACCTACCTCATTGGCTTCCACCCCGTAAACCCTAAACCCTAAACCCTAAACCCTAAACCCTAAACCCTAGGCCCTCAGCGCCACACCCTACACGACGCAGGGGGCTTTGGCTCGACCATTTGCAGAAGGTAACAGTTGATCCCAGGAACCAGCGACGAACAGGGTTTAGGGTTTAGGGCTTAGGGTTTAGGGTTTAGGGTTTAGGGTTTAGGGTTTTGTTTGTCCAGCATGGAGTGCTAGGTTTCTCTTCCTTTTTGGGTTGGGGCACATGCACTAAAAGGCCCTGGATTGATGTTAGACAATTTATGCCAGGTTGGTTGCTGCTGCTGCTGCTGCTGCTGCTGCTGCTGCTGCTGTTGCTGGTTCTGCTGCTGCTGCTGCTGCTGTTGATTATGCTGTTGCTGATAGTGGTGGTGGTGGTGCTGCTGCTGGTCCTGCTGTTACTGCTGCTGTTGCTGTTGCTGCTGGGTATGGTTCTCATATTGTATGGTTCGGCAGCTAATTTAACTATTGAAAGCTTTAGGGTTTAGGGTTTAGGGTTTAGGGTTTAGGGTTTGCGGCTCAGGAATTGACATTCGGCTGACCACAATTGCCATTAATATGCGGCTGCCCTTTTGGGGCCATTTGCTGCAAGCTGTTGGCTTCATGAACAGCAGCAAAGAAACCATCAGGGGGTTTCTAACTGGGTAAACCCTAAACCCTAAACCCTAAACCCTAAACCCTAGAGGCTGTTCCGCGGCAGAGTCAGTTGCCTGTCTATTGCCTGTAGTGCCGCAGTTGCTGCTGCTGGCTCTGCGTGTTTGGAGCGAAGCGCCCAGTGCCCAGGGTTGAGGGTTTAAGGCCTGCGCTTAGGGCTTAGGGTTTAGGGTTTAGGGTTTAGGGTTTAGGGTTTGCGCTGCAGGGGCCCCGGGCGGGCCGTGCTGGTCATCGTGGGCGGGGCCAAAGAGGCCCTTTTGGGGGCCCCTGGCCGCAACGATTTGGTGCTGCAGCGGCGGAAGGGTTTTTTCGAAATTGCGCTGCAAACGGGATCTTCCCTTGTCCCCGTAAACCCTAAACCCTAAACCCTAAACCCTAAACCCCACGCGCCAGGCCGTAGGTTTGCGCGAGGCGGAGAGGCGCTGCGAGGCGGTCCTAGTGAAAGCTGCTCGCGCAAAAGGCGCCGCCGCAGGCGCCTACAGAGGGTTTAGGGTTTAGGGTTCAGGGTTTAGGGTTTAGGGTTTAGGGTTTAGGGTTTGGCGCAGGTGTTTTCGCTGGGGGAGAACGAAATGTACGAAAAGATAAAAGGAGACAATTTAGTTTGCCGCTCTTTGCAGTTTTTGTCTCGGAAGACAATGGCGTTGTTTGGCTTCTCCTTGCCCCTTTGCTACGGTGATAAACCCTAAACCCTAAACCCTAAACCCTAAACCCTAAACCCTAGACACTTAGTTTGCCGAGCTGCGCAACGTGTGGCGCCTCAAGGCGGCTCGGCTGGCCGAAGGTGCGGCGTGGCTGGCTGCGGGCGCTGGAAGTAGGAGCTTAGGGTTTAGGGTTTAGGGTTTAGGGTTTAGGGTTTAGGGTTTAGGGTTTGTGGCTAGGGCGCGGCTTGCTGCAACTGACGATGCCCAAGCGGGTGAAGATCCTCGAAGTTGTTGGAGACCCCATTCCTTGCAAACGCATCCCAAACCCTACTCAGAAGGACATAGACGAGGTTAGTTACTTAGCTAGCTAGCTAGCTAGCTGGCTAGCTAGCTAGCTAGCTAGCTAGCTGGTAGGCCAGCTAGCTGGGTAGGCAACTAGCTGGCTAGCTGGTTGGCTCGCTAGCTAGCTAGCTACCTAGCTGGTAGGCCAACTAGCTGGGTAGGAAGCTCGCTGGCTAGCTAGCTAGCTGGCTAGCTAGCTAGCTAGCTAGCTAGCCGGTAGGCCAGCTAGCTGGGTAGGCAACTAGCTGGCTAGCTAGCTAGCTAGCTAGCTAGCTGGGTAGCTAAGTGGTTGGGTAGTTAGCTAGCTAGCTTGTTACCTGGGTAGCTAGCAGAGCCGGGGGTTTCAAAGTGGGACTAGGGTTTAGGGTAGAGGGTTTAGGGTTTAGGGTTTAGGGTTTAGGGTTTAGGGTTTAGGGTTTAAGGGTTGCGTTGTGCGTTCCGTTTGCAGCTTCGTCAGCGGTACTGCGAGGCTCTACGGAGAGTTTACAACAAAGCAAAGGTACGCTAAACCCAAACCCTAAACCCTAAACCCTAAACCCTAAACCCTAGGTCCCGAGCCCTGATTCATAAGCCCTAAACCCTAGACCCTGAGCTAGCCTCTGAAGTCGTAGTAGAGAGGCCAAGGTCACAGCACTAGAACCGTTGGTGCAATCTGCTGTTTAGGGTTTAGGGTTTAGGGATTACGGTTTAGGGTTTGGGGTTTAGGGTTTAGGGTTTGGTGGTTGTTGGAGCTGCGCAGATTGCCTACGGCCCTGAAGGGCAATTCGAGGACCTTCGCATCGTGGAGTAAACCCTAAACCCTAGGCCGCTGGCGAGTGCCTCTTTTTAGTGAGAGGTTTAGGGTTTAGGGTTTAGGGTTTAGGGTTTAGGTTTTGGTCCCCCTTCTCGGCCCTTTTTTGGAGTTTGCTTCAATGTAACATTTGTCACAAGCTGGACCTCCAGCCTAGCTAGCCCTTTTGCTAGCTAGCTAGCCAGTTTGCCATGAAGCCAGCTAGCTAGCTAGCCAGGTAGCTAGCTAGCCAGCCAGGTAGCTAGCTAGCAAGCCAAACGGGCAGCTAGCTAGTCAGCTAGCCAGGTAGCTAGCTAGCTAGCCAGGTGGCTAGCTAGCTAGCCAGGTAGCTAGCTAGCTCGTTTGAGTCGCCGGCTAGCTAGCTAGCCATGCATATTTAGCTTTTGTTTGCTTGGATATATATATAAGGACATTGCCATCGTGAAGTCGCGAATTGAGGACGCCTTAACTGGCTAGCTAGCTGGCTAGCTAGCTGGCTAGCTAGCTGGCTAGCTAGCTGGCTTGCTAGCTGGCTAGCTGGCTAGCTGGCCAGATAGCTAGCTAGGCCGTGCAATGTGTGGGCAGCTGCCTATGTAGCTGGGCAGCTAGCTAGCTAGCGAGCTAGCCAGCTAGCTAGCTGGCCAACTAGCTAGCTAGCTAGCTAGCTGGGGCGTGTCCGCGTGGGACGTTTAGAGCCTCCAGAGTTTGGCTTTCTCCTTTATCTTCTTTGTCTTCTTTGGCTTGTTTCGAACTGCTTGGGTTTGACTCAATATCTAGGTTTTAGGGTTTAGGGTTTAGGGTTTAGGGCTTAGGGTTTAGCTTTTAGGGTTTAGGGCTTAGGGTTTAGGGTCTAGGGTTTAGGGTTTAGTTTTGCCTCTCCGCTTTGAGCGCCCCAATAAGCTCAGCAGCTTTCTTCAAATGGTTCTTCAGCCTCCAAACCCTAAACCCTAAACCCTAAACCCTAGTACAGCCATAGAACACAATCCAACGGGCCCCACAGCAAACCTCCCTGCTGCAGCTGCGAGGGGCCCCCATGGGGGCCCCCTATGGCCACCACGGGGGCCCTAGGGGGCCCCTAAGAGGTGCCCTAGGGCCCAGCTAGCCATCTAACTGGCTAGCTAGCTAGCTAGCTAGCTAGCTAGCTAGCTACTTAGCTAGGTGGCTAGCTGGTGGGGTGGGCAGCTAGGCAGGGTGCCGGAAAGGCAGCTACAGGTGGCTGCAGCTGCAGCTAGCTGTAGCTAGCTGTAGCTAGCTGTAGCTAGCTGCAGCTAGCTGCGGAGTGGTGGCTAGCTGCAGCTGGCTAGCTGCAGCTAGCTGCAGCTAGCCATCGCCTGCCCCGAGTGCATGCATGCAAAGCCCCAGGGGGGTCAGTCAGCTCAGCAGCAACAGAAAAAGGCTCTAAATGGGAAATTAAAACTCAAAATAAATTAAAAACAAATAAAATATAAAATTAATAAATACAAAACTGATTTATTTCAAATAAATGCGGTCAACACTATGCTCCGTTGGGGGGGCCCCTAGGGGGCCCCCAGAGGCCCCGGGGGGCCCCCAGGGGGCCCCTAGGGGCCCCTGAGGCCCCTAGGGGCCCCCGGGGGCCCCAAAGGGGCCCCTTCTATAAATTTATTTGTTTGCAGATTAGTATTGAATGATTTAATGATATTTTGGAGTGGGTTTAGTGTTTGCTGCTGAGGCCGCTGCGTCTCGAGAGTCCACACGCTAAACCCTAAACCCTAAACCCTAAACCCTAAACCCTAAACCCTAGCGCAGAAGCGAGCACTGTGGCTGCCTGCAGGCACCCAGGCCCTGGGCCTCGGGCTCCAAACCCTAAACTAGTGTGTTGCGCTTCTTGTGCTTCTTGCACAATGCGCGTCGACGAAGAGGGTTTAGGGTTTAGGGTTTAGGGTTTAGGGTTTAGGGTTTAGGGTTTAGGGTTTGGGGTTCCGGACCCAGCGCTTCGGGGCTGAGGCGAGGCCCCACAATGGTGCTGCTGCACTCGCTTGCCCCAACAACTGCTGCTGCTGCAGCAGCAGCAGCAGCAGCAGCAGCAGCAGCAGCGCGCTCAAATGCTGCTGCTGCTTCTGGCAGCGACGGCCCTGGTTACCGCAGGTGCTACATATGCGGCCGCCGCGGCCGCAGCAGCAGCAGCAGCTGCAGCAGCAGCAGCAGCAGCGAGAGCAGCAGCAGCAGCAGGCTGCGGCGCTGGCTTTTTGGACCCTCCTCGCTGCAGCAGCAGCAGCAGCAGCAGCAGCAGCAGCAGCAAATCGGCAGCTGCAACCAGGAAGACATGCAGCGCATTCTGCGGCGAGCTGTACGTACACTCAAAGAAAGCAGGGAAAAAGAAGCAGCAGCAAAAGGCCGGCCCCCACACCCCACAGACTACGAACTCATGGTAAACCCTAAACCCTAAACCCTAAACCCTAAACCCTAAACCCTACACCCTAAAGTTTGGAGTGTTTCTTGCAAGGTGCGGTGTAGGATTGACTAGGTGTGGATAGGGCTACGGCACAGAGGTTGTGCTGCTTTGGAGCGTGGTGGTTTAGGGTTTAGGGTTTAGGGTTTAGGGTTTAGGGTTTAGGGTTTAGGGTTTAGGGTTTAGGGTTTGTATTTAGGGTTTAGGGTTTAGGGTTTAGGGTTTAGGGTTTAGGGTTTAGGGTTTAGGGTTTAGGGTTTGTGCGGGTGCAGGAGAGGCGGTGGAGTGGCTTTCTGAAGGCAGTTGAAAAGCACGGGAAAATATCTAGAGGAAACTTTATAGAGGTCTACACAGATGGTCAGCTGCTGCTGCTGCTGCTGCTGCTGCTGCTGCTGCTGCTGCTGCTGCTGCTATTCAGGCAGCAGCTTTTGTTCTTTGCTGCTAGTTGCTGCAGTTTTGGGACGTGTAGCGTTTTGCTGCTGCACGTGCGCTCCCGTTGCTGCTGCTGCCACTGCTGCTGCTGCCACTGCTGCTGCCTCTGCTGCTGCTGCTGCTGCTGCTGCTGCTGCTGCTGCTGCTGCTGCAGGAGACGAGACGCTGCAGGCGATGCTGGAGTCCATAGCAGCAGCAGAGCAGTTTGTGTTTATGGAGAGTTACATTTTTGATGGCTCGAGAGCAGCAGCAGCAGTTAAGGAAGCTTTGGCAGCAGCAGCAGCAAGGGGCTGCTTAGTCATTCTCCTCATCGACGGCGTAATCCCCAAACCCTAAACCCTAAACCCTAAACCCTAAGCCGTTGAATTGTAGTGTGCACGCCGGAAGAATAGGCTTGAAAGGGGAAAATGCGATTAAACGTTGCTGCAGTGACAGACAAGCAGCAGCAGCAGCAGCAGCAGCAGCAGCAGCACTGCAGCAGCAGCAGCACCACCGCCTCCACAATGACCAGCAACAGCAGCAGCAGCAGCAGAAACAGTCGATTTTGCTGCGCCTCGTTTAGCTTCAGCCTGCATTTGTAGCAGTAGCAGCAACACTGCAGCAGCAGCAGCACTGCAGCAGCAGCAGCAGCAGCAGCAGCAGCAGCAGCAGCTGTGCGCGTGTGCGCAGATCGGCAGCTTCGGCTTCTCGCAAAAGTGGCTGTCGGAGTTGCTGCTGGCGAAAGTGCATGTGGGGATTTTTAACCCGCCGCTGCCACAGGGCTTCTACGCCCCTGCTGCTGCTGCTGCTGCTGCTGCTGCTGCTGCAGAGCCAGCAGCAGCAGCAGCAGCAGCAGACCTGGGGCAGCTGCATGCAGCGCGCGCGGGCTCTTTGGCTTTTCGCAATCACCGAAAGACACTTGTGGTTGATGGAAGAGAAGCTTTTGTGGGGTCCTTTAATGTTTCAGAAGGCTCCACAGGTCTGCTGCTGCTGCTGCTGCTGCTGCTGCTGCTGCTGCTGCTGTTGCTAGTTAAATACCGCTGCGTTTGCTGGCCAAGTGCTGCTGCTGCAGCAAGTCGAGTGCTGCTGCTGCTGCTGCTGTTGTTGTTGCTACTTAAACCCTGCTCCTGTTGCTACTGCTGCGGCCAGTTAGGCGGTGCTGCTGCTGCTGCTGCTGCTGCTGCTGCTGCTGCTGCTGTTTCTCTAGGTGGCGGTACTGTGCTTTTCGCTGCTGCTGCCTCCTGAGCCTCTAGTCCTGCTGCTGCTGCTGCTGTTGCTGCTGCTGCTGCACTAGCAGCTTTCGCTGCCCCCTAGGCGGGGGGCTGCAGGCCTGGGGCCGCATCCCCCGTTCTTCCCGTGCGGG